AAGACAGCTTTTGAACTTTTAAAGAAGTTATTATTGTAAACTTATTAAATCTCTTAATTATAAGCGGTTATACGCTAAATATAATGTAATGTTATGTGCTCAAGTGTTTCTTTCTCTGCTTTGTGGGTTATAGCCACATAATACCTCTATTTTGCACGCCTCACAGGGTGTTATCCAAAAACCGATTTACCGGCATTGGCTGCAACTCCTTTAAGGATCTTTTAGCTGTGGAATATTTGTATACATAAATAAAACTTTAACATTTCATTGTTACCCAACTTTTTTGGCTTTAAATAACTTGGCAATTAGACTTCTTGATAATAATGATATTACTTACATTGAATCTGGTGCATTTAGAAAACTAACAGCATTGGTCGACTTGTAAGATATTATTTAAGTTATTTTATTATCATTACTAAAAAATTTAATTTATTAAGTTTCTTTGTGTCCACAAAACTTTCTCACGTAGCGTTTGATTAACTAATAACTTTAGAGACCTATATAACAACTCTATAACTGAAATTGGACCTGGTGCCTTCAGTGCCTCCTTCAACTATAAAAATTTGTAATTCCCCTTCCGTACTAGCACTTTTAAAATGTCTAACTTTACAACACTCTAGAGCCCTCAGCTTTAACCAGACCTTCCTCTGCTGGTCACGTGTTTTTTATAGAAATAGGCTTCATTTTAACCATGAAATGTGCACGCACAATGGGAAGCTTACATATTATCTTACTTTCACCAAAGGAAAGTGTCGCACTCCTTAGAAGTAGACTAGTCGTAGTAAACATGTAACTACTGCTTGGACACAACTTTATTAACGATTAAATTCTCATAACCGTTTAGTTTATCGACATTTTAACTTAAGATAATTTTCCCTACTTTTGGACTATAATTTGTGAACTTTACTTCTATTCTTTTTAGAATAATACCAGTTACCATAATGTAAGCAGTTCTTATACTTGAAACATAATTATTTAAATTACAACAAACTTGGAGGAAAGTTTATGTACACATAGTAGTCGCTTATATATTCTTTTAAAACGTTAAAACTAACCAATAATTTATATACATTACTGATGCAGTCCCTATTAATTACTCTTACGCAAATATACAACATACTAAACGCGTTCTTTAGCTGATGTTGGCAGTTTGTATACACCTATAACAGGTTGACTGCACCCAACTTGAGGCGCTCTCATTTTAATAGGGTACTAAAGAGGGAACCGTAGTTCAGTGACCAAAGTGCCGGCCTGAGGTTGAGGAGGAGTGATGAGTTTGTGTGCCTTATAACGTATTAATAGCACCCAACTAGGGGCGTTCTTTTGGGGTTGCGTTTACTCTGATCCCCTCCCCATTTTTATTTTTACGCAAACACCCCATTATCGGCAAATATTTCAAATATTGTTTGACTTTCTTTAAGGTTAAGGGAGGACTGCAATATTAGATGTGTGGTGCTTCTATTGAGCATTAAAGCAAACCTTTTGGTTAAATCTTAAATTTTTGATAAAATTGTAATGTGTTCTAACTTGAATTTGACACAACTAATCCTAATTAAAGAATTATTATCTTTGCGGAAGCTCATTAAATTTTAAAAGAATAAACCTTATTACGTGATAGATGCACACAGGTACATAAAAAAAATTTGCAAACATTTTATTTCTACAGTTCTTTCCGTTCGTTTTTTCGTCAATTTTAGTATAAACTTCCCCAAATAGTAAGCACATGGCAATGTGAGTAACAAAGAAAGAATAGCAGTTTTAATTCTAGTTATCGACGTAGGAGTGATGAATTGGGCTATATACAAAAGCTGAAACCCAATTATGTTTGAGGCAATATAACAATTGCGTACGAAACGGGGTTAAAAACTGCCGCCCTAGCTAAGAGCTTAGAAGAATGCGAACTCAGAGCCGCGGCACCCATTCCCACTTTGATGGTTACGTATTTAACCTCGTCCCTACAAATTCTGATGTCAACACACGTGCAGTTGTGGTATATCTTTAGTTTATTAGCTATATCGTGTGAAATAGCTTTTTAACTAACTTTCTTCAACTTTTTAACTTTTATTTAATAGCTTAGAACCAAATATGTGAACTCCACTTTGCAGAAATTTAGGTGTAAGATTTCCTTAGAAATTGTTTAAAATATAAAAGCATGAAATAATTTATTGGTAACCACTTCCCCTGCACTCAATAAAGATGAGTTTTTAATATAATATTAAACCGATTAAGGTTAATGTAAGTACAGTAATAGAGAACAATCAATTTACAAATAAAGAAAAAGGCTAAAGTCTTTTATTTTAGCATGTTTCGTCTTATAAATTATTAAGCGCTTGAGAGGTTAAGTTCAAATGCCCACCAGTTTGAAGGGCTTGAAACAACTAAGAAATTTCATGCCCGCTCTCGCCGCCGTTTTCCTAGTGTGGTGAAAAATCACTAAGAAAAGTCATTACCGGAAGAAGCTGGCAAAGATATAAGGTCTAGTAGAGATCAATCAGTATTGCTGCAATCCAGGCCTTTCAAATTACGCCATGCAGCCCTGCCTTCTTTTATTTAATAATTAATATTAAAGAAATTGTGCTCAAAGCACATCGCAAGAGCTGTCAAAACGTACGCCTATCCGATGCTTTTTGAAAAGTTCCTTACTAAATTTTAAAGTTAATAAAGGTATGTTATTGCGCACAAAGTACTGTGCACTAATTAGAAGTCGCAACAATTTTTTTGCTGTTGGTTCATCATCAAATACTTTAGCAAATAAGGCGTACGCCCCTACGGGTAGTATACCCATTCCCGCAGCAGCGCAGTTTGTTCGCTGGTAAAACTAATGCGTCGTAGGGTTGATAATAATCCTCTAAGTATTTTGCCTGAGGATGCAGAGAGAGCTAAAACAGTGCAGTGAAGTTGTCGGGAGTGAGCGCTTTGCTTTTGATTGGGATAATTACCACACTTCTATGTCGACATCAACAAGCGATTGTTTCCAGCTTCCGCTGCAGATACTGATCTTCTGTCTCGTCGACATCATCATTAAAATAGTCCAGTTGTTATGTTTGTGCACTAACACTGACTAATTTAGTGACTAAGGTATTGTTATTATTTAGTACAAAAACTACTTTATTAATTTTACTAGCCTAACGACGCTACGAAGCGGGAGAAGGCACAACACCACTCAATCACGTGATAAAGAAAAAAGCTTCGCCTCTAACCAGCTTATATACATAAATTTATAATTTAGTCCTCTGTAAATCTTACAGGGCATACAACTTTAAGAAGTGTTATATACAAACAATAGTGATACAGTATACAACGTATTTCAAATAAATTTAATATAGAGTGAGTTAAACCCTGGAAAGACTTTTAAAGTTTATTTGATAGTTTTTGAACAGTCTGAAGAGCACGAGATCTGTCCTACACCGAACACTAAGGATAGCAGAGCGATATTACAGAGGGAGGTAAGTGGAAGAGACGGATCAGATGCAGTGACTTTAAACGTGTATACCTTGAATGAGGAGCTACAAGGAAAAAGTAATTTTAGGTGTTAAATTACATAATTAAGAGACAGAACTGGCCCTGTTAAAGTTTAAACCTACAATAAACACACGTTTGAAAAATTATAAAATCAACTGGAGATTTTTAAAAGCGACTTTATAAGAAGGGATTACAAACAAAATTTAGCTAAGTACCAACTTGTTCAGTGTTACTTAATACCAAAGATAATTTACTTTTCTTCAAATGCTAGAATAGTAAAATTATTGGAATTGGCTACACTAAAGAAGAAAGTTGCTAATAGATATTAGAAAAATGATCATCTCTTCAGTGCTGACGTCTTGTTTTTAATCTTTGGGAACAAGCTTTATTATGAAGTCGTTGTTAATTGCCTGGATTTTTTTAACCTATAATGGACCATATAAATAAATTTACAGACTTTGGGTCAGCAGGGAAAAAGACACTGCGGAAAAAGTTAAAAAATTTAAAAATAGTAATATGCAGTGGGATATCTAGGATATTGTAACTTTTGCACTGCAGTTTGCTGTATAACTTAAGATCGTATTAATGTTAATAGTAAAAGCCAAAATGTTTTGAGGTTGCAAGTCAAATAAATTCAGTTGATTTAAAGAATATAAAATCCTTTTTTTTAAATCCTCTGAAGGATACCAAAAAGAGCTGCTAGATATTACATGGAAGTGACTAGGTAAATTAAAATAGTTCAATAACATATGTAGATAAATTAGTTAAACTAATAGAAGTAGCAAACTCATAATGAAAACTAGAGCAGCAGAATTATAACCCCGCAGAACTTAGAGGAAATAAGAGAAGAATAACTGTCCAGGACTAAGTAAAAATTATCATTAGCAGAGTAGAGTTGGGGAGATAGGAATGGAAATTCCTCGCAAGCTAGTCAGCTCGTAATGCATTAATTAGTGCGTTTATAACGCTATAATATATATTTATTTAATGAGTAAAGCTTGAGAAACTGACGCTCTGAGTAAAATTTAGCGAAGCAATAAAAGCTTTGTTAAAAAGAACATTCAGCGCTTTTAGAATAGGAATCCAAGAATTAAAAAAAAGTTGGTTACGTGATGCAGTAATATACGGTTTTATTTAGCTTAAAAAAAAACCAATTTTTATCCGCTTAAGGTATAATTTTTATTATTTTATATTTTTACGACATTATATAGAGGTGAAAACCAAAGCACCCCATAAGATATTGACTGTTTAACACTTTCAAGTAAAACTGGTTTATTAAAGAAAAAAATTACATGGAGAAGGTATCCAATTAACTAAAGCTTGTGCAATACTTATTTAACGCTTAACATTTATAGGAAAAATATAAGTTTTATTATTTGTCAGAAAAAGCACGTTTCTGGCTTAAGCAATTTGGTTTTTTAAGTGATGAGAAAATTTAGAAAGTACAAAACGAGCCCCTTTATAACTGCGCAGGGACTCAAGATAGGGGCTCAGCGTCCCAACGATCAAGTTCTTTAACCCCGCATCTGCACAGTCAATCATTGTCTGTTATCAATAAGCAAAATTTTTTTGCAAAGGAAAAGTAGTTGTGGTTTGTAAACCTGAACCACGTAATTTCCGTACTCGTGTTTCATCATGTTGAAAAGCGATTCGTTAAAGTCACCTCTACTACTTTCATGGTGAAAAAGCTATTAAATTTTAGCAACACAGATGCGCACCCCTGGGACATGCCTAGCACCTCAAAAATCACAGTTCTCCTTTGCTGTACATTGCCGTGCAATAAGCAACTTTCCACTACGTTGCTTGCAAACTTATGTTGGCTTAACTCAGAGAACTTGCCTTCTAACTTGCAAATGATCGCGTCGCGATACGTTTCATCCCTCGTGCAGGCTAGCAGGTGCTGAAGAACGTAGTTGCCATAGGAATCCTACCGGAAAAGCATATGCTCTAATCTGACTAGGGGAGTTATAAAAAGATACAAACTTGCACAAGAGCCACTGTCTCTGAGACGAGCTCGTCGGCAACAGAACGCCATAGCTCCACTGGGAAGCAGTCTAGAGCATGCTGGACGAACCGACAGCCAAACAGTTGCTTGGCCAATGCCGAAAACTTCCCCTTTAAATTTTCAAATATGCTCACTTGGCATGCTACTGGTCATCAAGGCATTCGTGAAGGCAAAGCGCCATGATATATCGAAGAACCAACCGTGGCCACTTTCCAGAATTCTTCGAATTACGCGAGAACCGTAACGGTTTTGGGCAATGCGAAAAAGATTACCTGGTATTTACTGTGTTAATAAACACCTGAGAGTCTTCCTATTATTTATATAACCATGAAGTTCTGCTAGAATAGATAGTTGTTGCTCGGTGGAGGAATAGTCGACAGCCGTCTGTACTATCCTCCATCCTAACAGCTTGGGTTTATCACGTGCCTTCTTTATATATGGATACTTTAACCGTAAACATTCACAGCCATCGTCTCCATATTTCCAGAGAAAGTCTTCAAAAAGCTCTGAAAGGCTAAAGGGCCGCACACCTGCAAAGCCCTTTTATATAGGCCACTTTTAGTTACTGTTCACTAATATTTCAGTAGAATAGTACTTTTGAATCGCATAATTTCCGCACACGTGCATAGCCAATCGGGTAGAGTCAGACAATAGTTCTAAACGTGCAATCGCAAACTTTTCTCTAATGAAGTTAGGGGAATGTAAAACCGTTTATGATCATATTTCTATTATTATCTTCACCAGCTGCTAAAAGAGTTTGAACAACTCTTTAATTTAATTATAAAAACATATGATATGTCATTATTTAAATAATAAAAAGACCTTGATCCAACGTAATTTTTAGAATACTCCACCACTTCACCGGCGCAGGGGCCTATAAGGCCAGAAGCAGGAAGGTTTAGGTTAAAGTTCCACTTCAAAGTGTTTTCACTTGCACAGAATTCTGAGTATAAAAATTTGTAAAACATTGGAAGTGGTGCTTTCGATAAATTTAGACCTACCAGTAGTGTCACTCTTCTCCTTGGGCATCTAAAAATAATTTAACTATTAGCATAGAATAAAAGTGTATTGCTTAAAAGAACAAGTGTGTAAGGGCTAGCAAACCCAACGGGGTTTATAATAAAATTAGTTATTAACATTGACGTAACATGTCCCTTTTTTTTATTAACTTAAAACTTTATACGTATCCAGTAAAAGTGAGCTATATTTAAAAGACTTATAATATATTTAAAAATTATCATTACCTGACAAGCATTAAGCATATTTAATTTCAATTTTTATTAATTTATAAATGTAATTAACCTATTCATATTAATAGATTTAGGATATTAATTTTATATAACTATAAATTATATACTTTTATTTATTAACTTCTATGATAAATATTAATACTTTAAAAAAAGAAAATCTCTCGCGCAGGAATGACTTTTAAAAATACTGATGTGAAAATTGCTGTTTCTATTTATCTTGGTCAACATTATCAGTTCCTTGTTTTTTTTGAAGTAGGCACGGGACCTTAAGAGCCTCCCACACTAATCTAACTTAAACTTAACATTATCATAGAAATTCCAATATCAGTTGATAAACTTTAGATAGGGCATTGCTATTTGTAGGGTTGTGGTTCTTAAAATTTTGAAGTAACTTTATAATTTGATTTCTATAACCAAATAAGTATTACTTAATATTTTAATTGTTTTATAATATTATTCGATGAAAACATGCGCAAAATTAATTTCCGTACTAACTTTATATATTCGATTTTAAGCATAGTAAAAAGTAAAAATTTGTTTATCTCATGTGTACATTACAATTCAACAGGAAGAAAGCGGGAAATGTATAAATTAAACTTTTGATAGTTAAGGCTTTGAGTGCAAGTTTCTGAACCAAGTCACTGGCAACTTTTAAGGGTTTAAAGAGACTACATTCATTCGATTAATTAAGTTACACTTATTTACTAAAAATTAAAGCAAAGCTTATATAAATAAATTCACTATTTATTTGCACAACAAGGTTGTTTATGATTTAGTATGTAAAAATTGTCAGATAAATATTTAAACAATCTAAGTTCTTAATGATGCTTTACTAGAGTGAACCCTGTGCACAAGTAAAACTAATAGTTTTAATTACAAGAAGAGTAGAAGAATTTTGAAGAAGAAACTTAGAGCTGAGCGGTAAACAGAATAAAAAACCTAGCAATACAATATTTTTCCCTTCTCTTTAAACAAATTAGGGTGTTAAATCTTAAATTTATAACTTTTATAAGTATAAATTTTAATAAAAGCAACCAAACTGCTACCATTGTTGTGGTATAACGCATACTGTTTATCATTATAAAAGTATGTTGGCTCTTTACGTAGAATTGAAGCAACTTCACGTCATTCTAAATTAATCCATGCCTTGCAAACACTAAAATTATACAACTTGCAAGGGCTTATAACTAAGATCAAATATAAAAGACACTTGATAAATGTGTCCAGATAAAATGAAGTTAGTAATAATTTTTTAGTAAATATAAGGTAGCTCAATTTATATAGTTTTTAAAATTAAAAATATACTTAAAAAGAACACTGAAGGGGAAATAAGTTATTTAAGTTATATATAACAGAAATGTAGTAATTATATAATTGTTAACAGCCATTTTTGTTTTTTGTTTTAAAACGCTACTTCTTCGTCAATAGCATATTTTCCCTGGACTAGGCATACCCAGAAGATTTATAGAAGCTAAGTTTTAAATATGATGTAATCGACATGACTGCTAAAAAAATGTGAAGTCAAATATACAGCTATAACCTCATTGATCTAACCGTTAGATCCCTATGATGAATTGTATTCTTAATTTTAAAAACAATAAAACTGAATAAGAATTTTGGAATAAGAAAAAGAAAGCTCGGTAGTAAAAGGTCGCGAGGTTTACGCGTGTACTAGAAAGTAGCACTCTTTTAAAAGGTGTAGTTACTACTTAGATCTGCTTAATTTAACTCATGTTTTTTTTAATATTACAATTATAATAAATCACAAGTTCCCACCAATAGATTGAAGTCAACTGTCCAACCAAAGTTAAGCTAACCCCAACCCCCCTCTCCTTAACCTATCGATGGGCAACATAGTTGTGCATGACTCCAATAGACCTCAGTTAACTGTAACAGGCAATACCTAAAACCATACCGGGATCGAGAGTTGCGTGGGTGGGGATCGAACCACGAACTTGAGTATGTCCGCCAAAGCTCCCAACCGCTGAGCTACGACGCCAACTCTCGACCATGGTATGATTGTTTTACATATTTAACCTGTTAAACTAGCTTTCTTTCTGTTACAGGTACATTAAAGTTGAATTCACGCTTTTTCTTAGTTTTTCTTTTTGCCATTTGGGAACTTAAATTAATAAAATGTGTTAAGTAGATCCTATCTTTATTGTTTTATATTTTCAATCGTTTTCCATTTAAGTGATTTTTTTAAAAACTTTTAAATTGAGTTAAATAACTAATTAAAGAGCTAATTTGTTTTAAAGTGAAACTAATTGTACTTTACGATGTAATGCATTTAGTTAATAACATATACGCCTGCATATATCCCCTTGCCTAGAACTGTTTATGATTGCAGTTTCTAATCATTATATTTATAGCTATAGGTGCTCTTACCTTGTGCGCCTATCTTTGGCATTGTACAACGTGCTTTCTTTAATTTTTTAAAGTACAGCTTTATTTAGTAGATATTATCAATAGTCGCACGTTTAGAGAAATATTTAAACAATGAACTTTAATAGAATGAAACAAAGAAACAAATAGGGTTTAACTTTATTTTAGGTTTGTATCGCTTTTATACATAAATTTATGAGGTTTTCAGGGATATTCCCAATTAAATATTATTTTGGAATTTTGGTGGCTTTTAGTCTATTAAACTCAGAAGTTTTTATATAATTCTGAAATCTACCAATAATCTGGCGTAAGTGATCAAACATGCTTACTCTTAGCTCAAGAAAGTCAAGTTTAGTAGCTAAAGAATAAGCCCCAACTCTAAGTCAACTAAACAAGAACGCACCAGGGATCGGGAAGAGGAAAAAAATGTGCTGCTTATTAAAACAAATAAACTTTATATACGTACTAAAGTAAACAATACTAGACCAATAGTAATGAAAAGCGTGAAATAGTTTAGATCTCTTAGTTTATTGGTCATAGAATTAATCAATAACGTTCACGCTGAGGGCTCCCTCCTCTGCGTCTGGAAGTGTAAAAGCGATTTATTAAATTTTTGTTAGCGAGAATGACAAACTGTTTGCCACTAAATCTTTTCTCAGTACATAATATATTGTTTTGTTCTAGCTGTAAGAATAACAATTCAAATTCTGGTTTTACCTTTTTATAAATATACCAGCAACGAAAAGATCTACAACAAAAGTTTGGCATATAATGTAAAGGAAAAATGAGGCACAGGGCATGACAAGACATATTTTATTAATCAGATAAACCAACTGTATTTATTTTCTTAACTAAAGTAATTTTTTTGTTTACTTTTCGTTTATTGCTTCAAATCTTTAAAGATTATTCCACTTATTGTTGTTTGTAGATGCGTTATTTATTGTAATAAGTATAACTTAGTAGCGGAGGATTTATTGTTTTATTGGAAATGAGACTTTAATTTTTTTTGTATCAATTTTGTAGCGGTTCTAATTAGAATTTTTTGCTTTCTTCAATTAGGATTATTTGACTTAAATATTGGTCTTCTCTGGTTTTGTTTTTAAGTGTGAAGATGTATAAAAGAAAAAAAGAAATCATAGTGACATTTGATATCTTTGCTTTTATCCCCTCAATTTTTTTTTTTAGCTAGAGTTTGATATACGCACCTAAACTGAAGCTTTTATCATTAAATTTACTAATTTGTTTAATTTCACTTTTTGCAATTAATGGAGAAACTTTAATATATGTACATTTCATATTCGTAGCAAACTCACCAATATAAAAACTAAATTTAATTTTTATATCATAAAACAAGTTAAAAAAGACGTATACTACCTTAAATCATTATTTAATTATTTTTACTTCGCTAAATAATGTTAGCTCTAAGCTATTGTGTAATATCTCGCTGACCAAAAATTATTATATGTAATATATTGGTTGTTATTATCATTTTGAGAATTTTTTAAACTGTTACTTATAATATAAAACTTATATTTATAGGCAACTAGTTTTGACAATAGGAGGAAGACGTTTAGAGAAATTAGCAAAGGAATTAACTTTAATTAAACTGCTTTTATTTCCATTTTAGAGTGGAAGAGAAAAAAATAGAGACAACAGAAATATTGAAGCAACAAAAAGTGAGTAAGGGTTAAATATGTTTTTAACAATTAACAAACGTTATTTACCATGTTTGACTAGTACTAGTCACACTAATAAAACTTTATAAGTATTGTAGTTGGCTACTGGTTGTTACTAACGATTGACCCCTCTGTTTTTCAGTTGCATTCGTAAATGCCAGTACTTTTTCGTTAACCAAAAATTATACTCTGAGAGGTCAGGTATATGACTGTTGATTTCCAGAAACTTTATTAATTATAAATATATTTATTTATTAATTTACATTATATTATCTTTACACAACTGATTACAACTACTAATGTTTCATAGCCTAAATAAAAGAGCAGGGTCATGTTGTACTAGGTACACCATCTAAAATTTATTGCGCTAGAATAATTATTTTATTATGAAAATAGTATCGTGTATTAGAATTAGAGTTATTTTTTAGGAGTAAGTGTCATGCCTACTTCACAAATAACTCACAAAGCGATATACTGGGTATTTGTAATAACTTTAGAACCTTCTGTCTTCCTAATAGCTTTGTAACCCAAAGCCTGCCATTTACTTTAGAATTAAGATCTTTTTGTGCCTTTAAGATTACGTATAATACCTATAATATAAGGTTAAGTATCATCTCTATAATAATAAATACTATTTCTCGATTAAAATTACTTCCGTAGCTCTAATGCGGACATCCCTCTTTACCGTGTAAGTTTCATCTAACATTGATGTCAATAAATGAAGTCCGCTATTTTGAACAAATTCTTTAAGGCGACAAGGCGAGCAATCAACAAGAAGAGCGGTCAACAATCGTAAACCTTATGGTAAGTGTATAGCATTTATAATATTATTTTCATTAAAAAAAAAGTTACTAGCGACTTGCAAACTTCTTGAGTTGTTGTTAACAGGATCAAGAACTGTTAGTACAAATTTAAAACTGATCAAATCACGACAGTTACTATTTGTTAGGCATATTCCCTCGAGCAGGTTCAAAGCCTGAAAGGAAGTAAAAGCGTTGCTACTCTATTCGTATAACATAGAATAGACAATGGTATACTACTAGGGAGTACTAAACAATATTAAATCTTTTATTATTAATTTCACTACAATAATAGTAATAGTATAAAAGTTAACATTTGTAGAATAGTAACTGAGTTGTTATGAGCTCTCTACTTAGTTAAAATTAATTGTTTTCACAGGTTAATGAAAATTTACTTATTAGTTACTATACAATTTTTAAGTTAAACTCTAATAAATTTAAAGGTTTGTTTAACTGTTAATTTTTCCTTATCGTTAGGGTACTCCAAGGGATTTAGTAAATTATTTTCCGCGTTTTCAAAAGTATTTTCTTTAATTAATAGAGCAATACTATTACCATACTTTTCCTGTAAAATTTTATGATATATTCAAAAAAAGAGTTTATTATGTTAAAGAAAAAAACCATTAATAATTTTTAAATATATCAACTTTAAATTAGATTTTAGTAGAAGCTGTTTTAGGGTTAATTTAAGTAATAAGAAGCTCATTGCATTTAATTTCGAGAAAGTTACTTCTTTTTGTCTTAGCTCAATTTTATAGTTTAGGTAGATTTGCCCTATGTGTTTTTCATCATACTTTTATAGTAGTAGTAAGCGTCTTTTATAATAGTGCTATAAAAAACTTATAAATATTATACTTTACTTTATAGCTTCCCCTGTCACCATAATTTAAATCTAAGATACGAAGGCTTTCTCAATAAACGCCTAATCTACCTGAATAGACAGATGATACTCGTTTACGCACAAAAATAAATTTTATGTTGCTTGTAATTATGATTCGGAATTAAGAGTACTACAAGTTTTATACAGGCAGCTGGCGCGGGTTTTTTCCTCTCACCGTGCGAGAAAGAAAAGTATACAAAGTCTTTTTTTTTTAACCATACTAATCTGTCAATAGTTTTATTATAAAATTGTTAGTATATAAAAATTTTAACCTTTAAATCTAGTAAACTAAGATCTGGTTTAATAAATATAGTCTTCCATAATTTAAGCAGCTCTTGCAAGCCAGTTAACCTTAATTCATTATATGTAAGGTTAACGCTTTTTAAATTAACATTTTGATATTATACCTCATATAGGAAAATCTTCCACTTAATTTTTTTATGCTAATATTAATATTATACTCTATTTTACTTGTTACTAAAGAATAAATTTCTATCATCACAGATTATGAATTAGTTTTTAAAAAACCAATAGCTGCATTATATGTTGAATTACTTTTATAAAAATTTATCGTTAATTATTGCCATAAAAATAGTAGACCAATACTATTCAAAATAAATTCTTTATGAGTCCTCATATTTTAAGCTTTGTACCTACTTTCGAAACCACTTTTATAATGTACTTAATTTTAATATCCAATTGAGCAGTAGATAAGAACTGCAATATATTAATTTAAATAGATGAATCATTTCATTTTAATATTATAATGGTTGAGATATTACCGTAGTCTGCGATGAAACCAGTATGTAACGCATTGAGCTGTACTCAGTAGTAAATTCTTAAGCTTCACCTGGGTTAGAAAATTTGCAAGCGCAGGGTATAAAAAGTATAAAGGATAACAAAAGCTTAATGCTGATAAGTGTTAATGCTTTTAATAACTAAATCAAGACGACAATTCTCAGTTTCCGAAAGGTGGGTTTACATATTTAACCTGTTGCCGGGCCTTGCCTTGATCTAGGCGCCCGGTACTTTTACTCTCTTTACGAATTAAATGGATCATTTATGTAAAGAGTGAAGAGCTCAATAGAGGTTAAGTGTAACAGTTTAAAATATGTAAAACCATCATACCGGGATCGAGAGTTGTCGTCTTAGCTCAGTGGTTAAGAGCATTGAAGCGCAAACTCAAGGTCGTGTGTTCGATTCCCAATACGACTACTCACGATTCCGGTATGATGGTTTTATGTATCTAACTTTTTATTAGTACGCGAGAATTAGACACAGAAAAAGAGAGAGGCGTCGGCGGGAATTGAACCCACGACCTTGAGTTTGCGCTTCAATGCTCTTAACCACTGAGCTAAGATGACAACTCTCGATCCCAGTATGATGGTTTTACTTATTTAACTAGTTAGAGTGTCCCTTTTTGGTTGCATTGGAATAGTTAGCGAAGGGTTCCTTGTGTTCTACCCTTGCAGTAATATAAGCTACACACTATAGTTTTTACTAAAAATCGCCCTTCTCGGCACAAAGGAGACCATTGGCTTCCTCAATGATGTGGAGTCTCCAGCCTATTATTGTAGCCAGGATTTTTTAACCAAGGTGAGTTACCGATTCAAGTGATCACCTCTTAAAAAAGTGATACACGAACACCCCTCCATTATTTACGGTTTTCTCTGTCCCTTTGCCTAGCCTCCCCTATCTGCCGATGCTCGCTGGAACTTCAGCCTTTCCCCGCCACATTGTAGTTTACGTCTTCTAAGCTGCCTCTATAAATTCCCCTCACGCAGGCGGTTTATTGCAACTTTTAAACCTCCTTTTTCTTTCGGTTTGTTCTACATGTTGTTAGACCCTTGAAAATTGAAACATCCATTTGTAGTAACTTTTTGTTTAGTGATCTGAAGCACTCCCTCATCACCCTCAAAGGAATCGTTGTTGCTTCTCTTAGATTTTCACACTCCTACTTGATCCATTGCTAATAATTATTGTTAAAGTAAACTCTTCTGCCTTAATATCACGTTCTAGTCGCCCGTAATAGTATTCGCCTTAAAAGTTAAGCTTTCTTCCTCAACCAAGGCTTATTGGAGTGAACACTCAACTAGGTCCCGCTTACTCTAGGTAAGCCATCTCGTTATTTTTATTTGCTTGGACAAGTCTCAGCTCCCTCAGCAGGTTTCATTAAAATAACGGTCTGTCCCTCCATGTCCTAGGGCCCCAGCTGCCTAGAAAAAGTCTTCATTTCGGCCAGTGCAACTCATGATCTATATATCGCCCCACTGTCACTCCAAAAGACGTCTCGAAAGAAGTTTTATCTAAATGGCTCTAAGTATCTAACGCCCGACCCCCAAACGCACTTATTTGAATGGGGCCTCCTAGTTAAGCTCTCGCCAGACTCCTACCAGCGCCTGCACCAGGTAAGTACGCTGCGTTTGTAATGCACCTGAACTTCTATTCTACCGTCTTACTGCTTATGCATTTTGCCATGAGGTTATCAAAATTGCAATAATCTAAAACTACAAAGGCTACGCACTGTTTTAGAACGAAAATCATATAGTAGTCCCCAGAGTGCGTCAGAGGCAATATCGCAGTGTCTCCTGTAAGCTAACAGTGTGTGGTTTCTCTCCCTATAGAAAAAAGACTAAGGTTTCCATTTTCCCACTCAACCCATTAATATTTAAATGGAAGGCCTTTACCGCGCTTACTTCCGCCTCCAATCTTTTCACTATTTTCTGAATTGAACTTTCAGTAATTCCTTGGGTACCTTAAAAAAAAGTCCAATGTACTAGGGCGTAAATACCTTTTTTTAGAAACAGCATTAAGGTTTCGCGCTGAATCGGTGCTTGGCTAGTCCATGCTAAACACCATGTACCTACACTTTTCTTTGACTCCCGCCCCATCCAGGCCCCTTAAAGTGGAGTTAATGCCTCTAATCTTTCAAGGCGCACCCAAAACTCGGGCGGTAGCGAGACCCACGAAAATATTAAAAATCAGGCTGCCAGCAAGTATAGAGGTCCCGCGCCCTTCTAAGGCTTCAACCCATACTTCTTTTCAGGGCGTAAAGCTAACAAAATATTAAGCCTTTTTTGGGACATTGTAAGCATACCTCATTATAAAAAGCAAAACAGTGGACCTCCTCTCGACAAAGGGGCCTTCATAAAGTTCGCCTAGGAGTACTTTTACAACAGCTTAGGATGCTAACCGTCTACGACTAAGCAAGCAATGGAGGAGAATCACCGCTTACCTTTAAAATCATCTCCCTCCTACTCTGTGAATGTATTTAAATATTTTAAAGTTGGGTTCCTTTTGCTTAAACCGCTCTATTAAAAATTAACTCGAATAAACTCCGGTGTCCAAAAAAAGTTGTTTAAACTTTTCTCCAACTATATTTTGAAACTATCCAAGGCGGGTGCCTTGACCTCTATACCATCTTAATCTTCTTTTAATCCCGCATGAAATAACCTGGAGGAATGCTGGGCAGGTGAGACGCTTTTTTTGTTGTAAAACCTTTGACTACAATTGGGCACCATAAGGAGATAAGCATGGCTTACCAGACAAAAATATAAATTAATAAAGCGTTTTCTAGTTTTCACTCTCTTGCTCTGTCTCTGAATCCTCATTTTGTGCCACTCCCGGTTATGCTTTTTTGGATTCCTAAGCAGATAAGCTACTAAACCTAGTGTAGGTGTAATAAAAGGTTATAATTTATTTGACTGCTATTACTTTTACATAAATTATGTTTGCATCCAACTATGGAAATATAATTCCGAAAACTTTAGAAGCTTTGCTTACCACAATAGGCAGTGCTAAATTTAATATTTGAAATACTCTTTTATAGGGGAACAGTATAGCATAAATGCTCACCTCAATTGAAGGCGTTCTTCATCAATGCTACACCCCCTTTAATAGCTTGCTAACAGTTTTTCTTTGAAAGGCTTTCCGGAAATACTTTATAATTTTTGCCAGCTTTTGTGGTTTTCTTGCTTATAGCTCTATACGCAAATTCACAAGAAGTCTTACGTGTTTTGCTTAAGTCCATGCAGTTGTATAAAGCCATACTGGTCCCATAGTTTCATTAGGCCCATTTCGTAGGTATATACAAGTTTAACAGTAAAATAACATGCAATAACTTTTAGAAGAATATATATACAGACTCTGTTACCAGCCTTAAATTTTGCTGATACATGCATAGATATCTTCTGGTCTCTTAAAAAACGTTCATACTTAGGTTGGTGGATGTTTTAAAACCGTAGAATCTGCTGCTTCGGCTTTAAAAACCGCGCCAGAGCCAAAACAGAAATGGCATTAACTAAACTAAGGTATGAGTTTATAAGGCAGCAGCAGTGCTATAGACTATTATTTGCTACTTAAACTCCTGTTTCTACGAAGGGTCTGGTTTTGGGGGTTAAAAATTTGCGAGGACGTTATAATCCAAGCACACAACTAAACTACTGAACCGCATTACCTTTATTCTTAGCCAGTTGCTCGATTTTAAAAATCAATTAGGTAATTAATTTAACATCCACTGTACAGCCGTCTCATTTTCATAATCTCTTCTTAGTAACAAAATGGCAGTTCTTTGCCTTAAATTCTTAGCTCTGTATTTCTCTTAGTTTATTAATCTTGCTATTCCTTGAGATTTAACTTATGTCTACCATTTGCTCCATTGTTCTCTTTATAACGGTTTCTCTGTTCTATTTATTCTAGCTATTCTAAGTTTTTATCAGAGTAACTAGATCCTTTCTAGTTTTATTTGTTTTCGCCTACCGACTTAAGTTACTGGCACTCTTCTTTTGTTGAATACAGCACAATCAGTATGGATACGGGCCCCTACGAGGCATTAGTAATAAGGGCAACGTATCGTTATTGCGCTCAACGTAGTTTACAGTCATTGTAAACGTCGTTTTATAATTACAAAAAAGACTCCGCGTTTTTTGCCCAGTATATAAACTCAGAAATCTTTTTTAAAAGTTAGACGCCTATTTAATTAATTCCATCCTCGAAAAGTTTTCTAGTAAAAACAGAAAAATAACCTTTTTTTGTGGTTTGCCAAGATTGAAAAGGCGAAAAATAACATTCTAATAAACCTAGTTACCGAAAAGTTTTGTTAATTAAACTACTGACGGAAACTAATATCTTAGTATCATTCTTTAATATAATAAAATTTATCAAAGACTAATACACACAATAGTACTTACTGCCACCTATGTCTTCGTAAAGAATGCGGACTCTTACTATTTCATAGCTAAAAATAAAAAAATTTGCGCCTAAATTTTTTGCAATAAGGCACATGCTAGCAATAACTCTGGCATTAATTTTAAAACATCTATATCTTTATTTATATTATTTTTAACTAAAACTACCAAAAAGCTAAATTAAAGGTAAAAAATACTTTATTTTTAATATTCTAAATACAGACTAAATTTTAAAAGAAAACCCTTCCAACCAAAAATCAAAAATCAATTTTAGAGGTATTTAATTTAGTTACTGACACATATTTAAAAAAGTAACAACAGGTTTAAAGGTAATGCATTCTACTTGACTATGGACACCATGCAAGCCCCTCCTTCACTAGATAATACACCACTTACAGCCTCGCTTGCTTTCACAAATGTAATCGCTGTTCTCGCTTTCTGCAAAATAATCAAAAGTACTATCTCTGCTATAACTTTTACTTCAAGATCCCCTGAAATTATCAATTGCAAATACGGAAAATACCTCTCCTTCGTCAGCTAGTTCGCTATACCTTTTCAAGTCAGCAATTAAATAAAAGGTTTGACACATAGACTGATAACCTTAGCCTTCAACTATCGGTTAAGGGCCTTAACTATAACTTCTATAATATTTGCTCTTGGAGGGAGAGGGGCATGGAGTCAACAAGATTAATTTTTTTCAGCACAAGTCAAGCTCACTTTCGTTCATAAGATGCGAATAGAAAGCAGGCAAGACTTGGCTTTCATATTATGTCATTACTAAGTAGTAAAAAAGTAATTTCTGGCAAATATTAACACCCAGTAATATTTTTTCCTTTATTCTTAGGGTTTCTCTTAAACCGTACTTCCGTAGGATCAAAGCCTTGTTGTAAAGAACCGTACAAGCACCACGGTGGTGTGGGTGCGCAGTACTCCAAAGCGTTAAAGGTGGCTCCTTAGTAATAAAAATATAACTAATATTTCACATGCATCTATTATAAAAAGGACCGGTGGCCTTCCATTGCTTCCAAAGAGTAGAGAACTTTTCATAGTCAATCCACGTGTGCCATTTGCCGTCAACTTTGAAAGTGGATCTGGCAATAAGTAGACAGTTGGAGTGCTCGTGCTCGCAAGCAATCTCATAGCCTTTTATAGGTAAGCATAGGCATAAGAACATATAAATGATATATGCATAACCTTTAAGGAGGTTGACTAGATTTCTGACAAACGCGCATACTTCCTCATGCCACGGAACGTTTTTCATTGTTAACTTGCTGTCCTTTGCGACTCCACTATAGGTAACCCCTAATCGTAGAATATATCAGAATAACAAAAGTGGCATATTGACCATGAACCAATGAAAATCACCTTTACTTCAATAAAGTCAGGGAGACCTCTACCGATAAGCTCAGCGTAGTTTTCGATCTCCTCATTATTCCACTCGTTTACTAAAGTTAGTCTATACACCGTTCTTTGTCCCTATAAAGGCATAATTTATTATAAAATAAACTTCATCTAAAGAAAGTAGATAATTAAAAAAATACTTTTTTGCTTAAAGCTTCCAAACTTTCCAAGAAGCGCGGCCAGAAGTCTCTAAATAAAGGCCGGTCTATTTCTTTGAGTGTTTTTTCGGTAGCTGCATCCACAGACACATATAACTGTGTAACGGGAGCAAGACTAGCAATCGCCTGCGATACAACAAAAAGGAATTAACGTTTCACTTAAGAATTAAATATATCAAGTACCTCTGGAAACTGTGCGTTAGTTACAAGAAAGGTAGACATATCTCTTTCATGAAGCAAATTAACAAACTTGTTGATCTCCGGGTACATAATGGGCTCCCCCACCAGAGAAAGAGCCACGTGTCTTGGGTTCATTCCCTCAATAAAGCGTGCTTCTAGAACGCCGGGGATCCCTGCATTAAAGTTGAGCAGTTAAATCATTACAAGAAATCAGCCCGGCAATAATTGCGCGCCTTTGGCTGCGTTTATCATCTTTCTATGTTTCTTTATAGCCTCGGTGACAATGAACTCGGGATCCTCCATTTTCCAGTTCCACGCGGTCCCCACGGGGTTAGAGTGATGTCTTCCAATGCTATGAGATAGTTACACCAGAAGGTATTCTTATGAAAAACCTCCAGCAGAAGATGCACTTGTTAGCACAAGCCAAGTTGGGGGTCATCTCCATGCAGAGATGCGATGCAATGCCGTAAAAAGTGTGCTTATAACACCCACCGCGGCCCTTTGTACTATCAGAAACTAGAGGAAATTTAAAACTCACAATGTGTGATTAACTCGTAACATAGCCTTGGTCCAACGGCAGAGCTTGACGCCAGAATGCGAGCCAATGAGCTCATAGCCTTGTCTGCCCAGGAGTCATAATAATATTACTAATTTTTGGATGCCCATCAAATATAACACGCTAGAACTGCACAATAAATTATCTATAGAAGTCAAAATACTTAGTCAAAGCTTTTCGCAGCAACGGGGTGAGCATTTCCTTCAAACCATCGCTGTCTTTGCGCTCAGTCAAATCATCATATGCTTATTTATGAATTTGATATTCATTACCAAGAAAACTAAATTCAACAAAAATTAAAGAGATATAAAGTCTATTTTTGGCAAAATTTACGCAGGCCACACTGGACTTACATATTTTGACGTTCTCTTTATCTTCTTCAAGAGATAAAACAACCTTCTTACTTTTCTTATTAGATATTCTTTCATATTTTTTTTCCTTTTTTAAAGTTTCCAGTTCATTCGCAATTACTGCAAAAATATAGCTAATCAGGCAAATATATAACATACCGCTTGAACCACGAAAAAATAAGAATTTAAATGAACAGATATATCCGCTGAAAAGATATAAAAGCGAATTTTTTGTACCGCGCTCAGTTCTATAATACTGTAAAATGCTTACCTCAAACATATAATAACTTTGATATTTAAACAATACAAACCCCGATGCATGAGCGCTTTTTGCAAATAAAATAAAACCTTCGAGGTCCTCGACATCAATATTGTCCAAACTATCACATTCGTCCTCACTACTTTCCAAGACAGCGCCTCTCGTATAGGAATTGTGGTGTTTACTAGTAAAAAACTCCTTAATAGAAAGTTCAAGGCGTTCACTGAACGCTTGAAAGTCCTTTTCAATATCTTAAAGGAAAAAAGCTTTAAAAATTACATAAAAACCAAAATTGACAGAATATTTATAATTCAAAAAGCTGAATACTCCCGTGAGCGCTTTTAGCCATGTTGTGATCTCCTAAGAAGAGGGGAAGTTGAGGTAAAGCTGATAAAGACTCGAGTATCTTAAAAAGTTCAATAGCGGCCTTATAAAAAAAATAAAAAAGAGAAAGAAGATACGTTCAGCTATAATATAACCTTATTATAATATTCTTCGCCATATTCAGAGTTTCCTAATCCAAACATCGCAAAATTAAAATTGCTTAAAATGGAACGTGGAACCCGAAAATCATAGCGCAAATCTTTAATCCATTTAAAAAATGCAGCCTCCTCAAAAGACCCTCCAATATTATTATACAAATAATATTGAACTATTGAAGATAATATAAAAACCTTCACTATATGTGGGAATTATTAAAATGGTTAAATCTGTAAACAAATTTTTTTTGTAATATTTCTTCGGGTTCAAAATCTGGGAGATATATCATCTTCACAGAAAATAATTGACTACCACTAAAAAATAATAAAAGTTTAAACACCAATGTAAGTTAACGGAAAGGCTTACAGTCTTTTATAAAGATCTTCAGCAAACTTTTTAGCGGTTCCAAACACGCTCGAATACAATATAGTAACTTGTAAATTACTTCTGTGTGACCCTAAGTACAAATAAGTATCGATAGCTGGACAAGGCATAATTCAAAATTAGTATAGAAATTCACCCCTAGTAAAAGTCTTATAAAGTTCTACTTTACCCTCTTAAATATTTTTTAATATATAATGTAAAAACCATTTTGTCCAGGAATCTAACTAAAATCAATGTTTTTTTAAAAAAACCTTTTTTTAAAGATAACCATTCCTTTAGCTTCTTAAATAAATTAGAGCAAACTGTAACCGTATATTAATAAATTAAAAAAAAATTAATAGTAATATATAGTTACCTTTAGAGTAAAATGTTAATGAGAACGATGATGATAATATAGTAAGCAAGATAGATGAATACAATAAAAGAAGTAACATAACGAATGTAAAAGGCTACGCTTATAAGTAAATGAACACCGCAACTTGCTCCAGCACTTCCAAACGGTCACGTGCTGCTCCCCCTCATCCCAATCATTATTATTGGCTTTTCTAGAAAATAACTTTGAACGCAAACTTCGTTAGCTGGTCTGTCCAATCAGTTTATCTTTTTGGAGATTCAAGAGTCTCGCTTAAAGGCCTGGAGACGAAAGAGCGTTGAAGGTACTGTAGGTTTCAGTATTTTATAGTGGAATATTGTTTTTACTTGAGAAAGCGCGACGAATTTAATTTGTTGAACTTTAACTTTTAAACCTTAATAAATAGTAAATCTCTAAATCGATACTGTTCATTTTCAATCTGTATATTATATTTTTTTGAAGCGGTGTGTTTCTATAAATGGTTTATAAAAAAAGCAGCCGATCTTGAAAGTTCCTAAAGTTTATTATGCCTACTACCCTTATTTGGCAGTCACGAGAATTTAGGGGACTGGACGGATTAATAGCTGGCCCCCAACTGGTGGTAGTATTTTAGGTTTTGTTATACCCCTCATTGTAAAGTATCTCCTTTTGTTTTTTAGTGTTCTTCTTTAACTCTCAGTTGTTCTGTACATGTTCTTATAATTCAGTGTTACCCATAATTATTTTTTTTCCGTTTTTTTTGATTTATAGTTTTAAATCGCTCTTTTTATTACTATTTATTTTCAAACGCCCCTCGGTAACCAATCTTGGAGATTAAAAACGCTATAAATTGCTATGATGCGCTCTTTAGATTAAAAGACTGTGAACGGTAATATTAATTAATGCTTTTGATCTGTAAAATTTATGATTAACACTAGCGAACTATATATATATACACACAGACGCAATAAGACATTCAAGATTCGGCAAGGGCTCCCCCTTCTGGGTGAGGAGCTCATAATCGGGGTGGCCTGGCCGGTGTGTCGCCAGACGGTGGTTTATAGCTGTTTTCCGCCGCCCTAGGCCGAATGACGGGAGTCCAGGCCGATAGTTTTCGCTTTTTCAGTCCTTCGGTGCGGTCATTATAACTCTATAAAGAGCGCGCACTGATTTTAAAGTCATTAGTGCTATCGTTGCCGTTAAAAGAACTTATGGCTATTGATTGCTCCGTAGGTAGTGTATATTTAAAAAGAAGATTAACCAAAATTTTTGTTTTTCTTTTTGAACTATTAACAAGTCTACCTGAACGCTTGACGGTTATGTGTCGCACCTAACACAATTTTCAATTCAAGTTTTAATAGAAGTGTAAGGGCAAATTTGCTTCCGTTTGGCGCCCGCACCCCTCGTCGACGCTTTTTTTTGAAGAGTCGTAAATACATATTAACTTGCAAAAAATTCTTCAATAATGACTTGGTGTTACGATTTTGGAGATCGTAAGGCTCTCAGACGACGATGATAAGCGCCCAAAGGTGAACTTATGTGTTAAAATATATAATAACAAAAAAACAGTAAACTAATTAACCTTAAACAATAATAGTTAACAGAGCTAAATCTTAGACCAAGGGTGGAGCTAATGCACAGGCGGAAGTAGAACTTAAGAAAAGACTTTAGAAAGAAACAGAACTTAGAAACTGGTTGTAGAAGCGAAAGTAACCTAAAAGAGAAAATTACGATAGGCACTTCATATAAAGAAAGTAACTAAGTCAGCTCCTTCCCCCTTAGGTTGGAAGCCATAAATATCTGTTTATGCGCTAAAAACGCCAATTATAAAATTTTCATGCATTGACGCATATAATATAGTAATTTCCAATGAAAATGATGATAGGGGCGCATGCTAGATTCATAGCACTTTTCTCCACCCACTTTAATAAGTCGTCGATCATCTTTGTTCTGTGCTTATTGGCTTAATGAAGAACTTAAAACGCTAATCGCGTTAGTATTGATTGTAACTTTAGTAGAGCTTAGGCATTGTTAGAATATAATATATTAATAAATGGTTTTTCGCCCTATTAGGTGGGGTTCACCTCCTAGCGTGGTGGGAAAAGTGGGTGTTTAGTTGAAGCCAAGTAAAACCTGGAGGTTTAACACTAGTTGGTTCAAGTCATGTCCCAAATTTGGTTACAAGTGCGGTAGTAAATGTGTTAACATTAATAGAAAAGTTAATGGAAAAAAGAGGTGTATTGATAATATTAATTGTCCTCAAAATACTCGCGGTAGTGATAGAGGTGGTTATAATAGTCTTAGAACTAGTATTAGTAGTAATAATTTAAATAGCCTTTAGGATAAAAATGTTTAGTAATAAATTTGATGGTAGATTTAATAAGAAAAAAGGTAAATTGTCATAATTTAGGTAGTCATTCTAATTAAAGTAATAAAGCTGGTATATATTTTGGTATGAAAAGTAGTAGCTGCGAAAACCATTTAGGGAGTGTTATTGATAATATTAAGTGCAGCTTGAAAAGTAGCATAATTAATGAGGTATCGATGAAGAGATTAAGCGGAATGATCGAGGGTTTCAAAGTGTCTGGAGGAGCGCTGCAAGGTAGTACATATACGCACAGTTGACCCTATGGAAAACGAGATATGCTTGGTAACGGTGGTAACTTTTCAAGATTTTGTGTTCATTTGGTAGTAAAAATAATTAAAAGAGAGGACGATGGCGTTGTAGTAGCCCAATTTTAATAAACATTAAATAATTAAGTGGTTAATGCCTTCGATGATGTGAAGAGGATTGCAGGTTCGGTAAAATTCAGAAGTTATTGAAGATCAGCTTATGTCCTTAGCTTGCGATATATTGGCGTGAACGTAACTAAATGTTTAAACCACAGGATTCTAATATAATACGAATTCAAAAATAAGAAATGTTATATTATGGAATTTTTAAAATTAAGAAGGAAGATAATGACTCTGGCTTGGAGTTAGTACGAACTTAAAAATAGAGTTAAGATTTCTTTTATTTAGAGGGAAACAGAATATAGCTGTGTCGTCCGTATATTGGCCTAATGGTACGGTGGTTGATATGGGGGCCTCTGCCATTATAAATCTCGAATAAAATAGGCGATAAAAGTGATCCTTAAGGAACTACAGCTTTTAAAATTCCCCAGATTCAAATTAACCATATTTATACGGACTAAAAATTTTCTGTAATGAAATTTTTTGTTTTCATCTGAGCTAAGAGCCCAGGTAAGTTAAACTTGGCCATCTTATGGACAGTCCTCTGTGCCAAACGTTATCGAAGGCTTTCTCAACGTCTAAAAATACCATTGCGTTATATTTTCGATTGTTAAATCCTCTAGTAACACATTAAAGTTTTAGATTCTGTTGAGATGTGGAGTAATTTTTTAAATGAAACCAAATTTTACACTCTGGAATAATGTTCTTTTCTTACGCAAAGTTTTTAATCTTGTGGGTATTACAGTATCCGCTAGTTAATTAATGCGAAATAGTAAACTTATGGGCCAATAGTCTTTAATAAAGTTTCCTGATTTTTTTAATTTGGAAATAAAAACAGCTTCTGCCAATTTCCAACGATTTGTAAAGATATAGTTAACATCGAATGAAAAGCTCGTTTACTTAGGCAATAGCCTTAGTAGTGAAATGTTTGAGCATTAGGTTGGTTATACCGTCTGCTCCCACAACTTTTTTGGTCTTTAATGTGTTGATTATATTAATAATTTCTTCGCAACTAGTAAAATAAAGATTGTCTAAATCATGATCAGAGGTCGCCTCATAGCAAGGTGCCTCTTAAGTAGTGAAACTTTCGGAAAACGAGACGAGAATTGTGCAAAAACGCATGATATATGGGTGGTATGCTTAATAAATTGTGGCAAGGGTTGAGAAACCTTAATTTCCATAACGATGTCCCTAAAAAAGCCTGTCTTTATATATCTACTTAAGGCATCGTCTCCTTTTAATCATCTGCATAATAGCAGGAGGCGTATATAAGTTGAAGGATCTAGAAGGATTAGAAGTGGAGACAGAAATGTAAGCACTTCGGATTGTTAATTCTAGATGATTGACCACATCATCGATAACTGGCTCGGATGACAGAAAAGTATTAAAATTTTCGTCCAGTAATGCTTGAAAAGTGGCCAGCGAGTTATTTTGATAGTATATGCGCCTTCATGAAAAACAGTGTGTCTCCCAGCTCGATAAGAACTATGGTCGGGGAGGACAACTCGTAAATAGAATTTATACTTGCAGTGACATATATATTTTTTAAAAACTGCTGTCCAATACATCAGTGCTTCCCCATGGAGTACTGTGAGCTGGGTTATCTGGCCCCAGAATAAGGAAATCGGATATATTAGCCCAATTAGCTAAGAGTTTCTCTTTCTATTCGAACAGCGCTGTTCCAATGGGTGTGCTTGCATTTGGGATCTCCAGCCAACAAAACTGGGCTCGATAAGCCAAAAATATTCCAAGTTCTCAAAAAATAACCTTTTGCTCGGGGACTTGTAAGCTGATACCACTGGTCCGTCGCCATTTTTTTGTAATTTGATGCGTATCCCAAATGCTTCTAATCTCTGAAGATTCCTTATTTATAACTCCGTGTGTTGGATACCTTTCTTAACTAAAATTGCTACCCCTCCTTTTTACGAGACCCTGCAACCGCACCTATAACTGGTATAATTAGGTATTTGATACTTATTACCTTCTTTCAGGTGGCCAGATGAGAATAATATCAATTGGTAATGAGTAACAAGTTCAAGTAATTCAAACTGTTTGGCTCTTAGGCTGTCCGCGTTCCAAGATAAAATCCTATTATTTTTTAAGCGGTATTCACTATTCATTTCCGATGGTTAAGATTCTAGAAGAAATCGCCTATTGATTTTGAAATTTGATTTCTAAATTAGTAAAGTTTGAAGGTTTTCTATCACAACTCGGCACTACAGTTTGCAAATCTTGACTTTTCAACTTTTTCTTTAGGATATAACTTCGTGGTAGGATCTTCACCGCATTTAACACATTTGTAGCCAAAGGAACAGAATTTTTCGCTATGTCCGAATTATTGGCATCTAAAGCTTTGACCAATCCTACTACTATTCTTTATAGGTTCCGCAGAGATTCTAACGTAGCCTATATCTCTTACGTTATATATACTTTTTCAGATCGAGGTAATTTAGCAGGGTCCAAAGGCAATGGAGTTCGAAGCTTGTGATAGCGCCGCATTATGATGACTGCAGGAGGATGGAAACCCTAAATTTCCAGCTCTTGTTTAATATCCTCGGCGGCCAGCCCTGTAAAGACGCCACGCAAGACCACCTTCATCTCTTTTGCAAAAGGTAACTAATAAGTATAAAATTCATGGTCATTGGCGCCAAGTAGGGCCGTATGTTTTCTAAAGTCATTTGCGAAAGGTGCCATAATTTTGATGCCATGTATCGCATCTTTAGCGGAGTAAATAGATATGTTGTTAGCTTTAAATTGTAAGGATAAAATTTTCCAAACTTTTATTACAAAAAATTATGAGGAAATTTGGTTTTTTTTATCATTATCACTATTAACACTGGTATTAGTATTACTTTTATTATAACTATATTACTATATTTATTACTATTATCGTCATTATAATTGTTATATTAGTATTACTACTATTATTATTACTACTGTACCATTACTATTACTGTTATTATTATTAACGTTGTTAGTACTTTTATTACTACATGTAGTACTAATTGAATTATTAGACTTGTTTTCTTACTTTGAGTTGTATTTATGAGTAAACTTTTAAGATATCCCTCTGTACGGTTTAAGCTCACGGTGTGTTCGTTATTAACAGTACTTTGGTCAGTATCCATTAGAAAAAGAAAAATATATCCTGTTGGAAGTTCTAAGGCTGATTACTTCCCCTTTCGTTTTTTTAAGAGCCTTCAGCATGCGAAAGATTCTCTTTATTTCTCAGTTACGCAGTAAGTTTGTTTGCAGAATCTAATTAGGTTTCCAGATCTTTGATGATAGCTACCAAATGCTGGGAGCAGTCTCTCGCCATAACCCTCATGCGATTAAACTATAGCATCTTAACGTTTAAAATAAAATAAAACAACTAAAAATAAGCTGGAATTGACAATCTTCTCATAAATCTTTTATTAGGTGTAATATGTATATATATATATATATATGGTCCGCAAGTGCAATAATCTTACATTTTTTAGATCCAATGACCTTAATTAATTACCGTTCACAGTATTTTAATCTAAAAAAATTGCACCATTGCAATTTACTGGAGTTTTGGGCCTCCAAGGCTGGTTACCGAGGAATCTTTAAAACAAAACCATATTAAAATTATAGTAAAAGTACCATGTGTGAAAGAGGTGACGCTGAAGAAAAGTAGTAGGAGTTCAGAAAAGTTTATAAAGATCGGGGACGCTCTGCAAAGCCTAAAGAACGAAAAATTTACTTCGTAGTACGGTATAATAACTCTTTACTTTTTATACCGTGCAAAAGGGTTTTATCAAAGAATGAGAAAGTACTTTGCATTCACATTTTTTTAATGTAAGAAGAGTACAGTATAATGTTCTCCCTTTCAATTATGTAAATATGGCTTGAAGAGCTAGAAGAGTAGGAACTTAGCCTCATTGGTTTGCATGGTATTTCTTTGAGAGCAGCTCGAAAGAAAACCCTTATAAAAGTCGCTGCAAAGTGGCGAGATATAAAATAGTTGACAGATATGGAGGTATGTGAGGTATGCAAAAGTTTAAAAATGAGAGTATAAACCTGTATGAGGAACTCTACTTAGATACACTAAAAAAAGCCATTAAACACTTAGCGGTGGACATTATGAAGTTAATTTTAGGACCGTGGCTTAGTAGTAACTGCGCACACTTTCAACGAACAAGACCGACATAAGGTAAAGGAACCTTTGGTAAAGAAGTGTGGAATCTAATGGAGAAGGGCACTGGTGAATTGTTATAAAGAACTAAACATTGTGAAATATTTCTTAACCACTAAGCATCATCAAACCAATACATTAGCCGAAAGAAATTTAAATATTAGACAAAAGGCTTTATAAATGTTGGAGTTTGACAAATCTCGTACTCTGTGTGGTACATATGCCATGAGTTATTATGCCACATATCTAGGTGACAGGTGTCTACCCACGTGTTTCTGTTTGTCCCATATTTTGTACATTTTGTATTTCTCCCTGAAGGTATAAATACCCTTCTTCTACGGGACAATGAATTGTTCCCTCCTCGGCTTTACCGTCATTAAAAGAGTAGTTTTATAAGATATGAGAGTGGACTAGATATTTGATGTACGTATATAATTTAATATAGTGGGTGTCAGTCCAGTATTTAAGTTTGCTTTAAGAAGTTAAATATAACGATGATCACCATATAATATAATACCTTTGTAAAGGGCACAAATAAGGAGTCTGACGACTTGGACTTGAATTTTATAAGCGACTACTAGGGGAACTAAAATAAAACAGAGAAGAAAGCGGGGAGCAAAAGCACTAAAAAGCACTATGACAAAACCATTTTGCCAAAGGTGGTGTCCTTTTGGCGGGAGATAGAGTGTGTATAGAGAAAATCCTGAAAGAATTGGAAGGGTCCCCTATAGTGTAATCAGTGCGCCTAAATTTAGCTAATAAACAGGTAGGGCATAAAAACCGACTTAAAAATACGCCACCACTGTACTTAGTTACGCTCTAGCGCTGGGACACTCCTAAAAAAAGTTGTTTTAAAAATTAACCCTGCAGATAACGATGTTGATGAAAAAGTGAATTTGACTGAGTTATTTGTATAGGGTAGTAGCCACATTAATTGGATATATCAACTATAGATGATAAGTTGGTTTAAAGTCTTTCAATGTGCCTTAAGAGGTTAATTTATTAGCTCACGAAGCTTACCTTAGCGATTATAAGAGAACTCTATCCCAGAGAAGTCCCATATCTCAAAGGCGTGTAAACTACTCAAAAACCCTGAAGAATGAAGTTGTCTACCTCAAAAAATTTTTTAAGTTTGTTTTTACTAATGAAAATGAGGCTGTGTTAGCCAAAAATTATTTTTTGGAAAGGTCTGACAGGTTCCAGGCTATCTTAATAAAAGACATTTAAAGTGCCAACTTTGGCACCCTTTAGGTTAGCGTGTACATATGTATTTGTATATACGCGGGTCTACTTCCACTAACTTTTTTTATGCCATTGTTTATGGGTGGATGCAAAGTACTTCTAATATATAGTCCTTCCTTTACAGCTATAATATAGGCGCTAAGTGCGACCAGTAAACTACATGTTAAGGGCTAGTGATTAGAGAACTAGCACCTGATACGGATACATAGGCTGAGCAGGAACGGGTGGACACCCACAAACTATTATGCATGCTACATTTTAGTATTGGTAATGACCTTTTTATACGGTGAGAAACTTTAATTCATTTAAATAAGAGTTTCGAATGGTTAAAACTTATAGTAAATGACTTTAAATATTAAGCTATACCAATAAACACGCTTTATTAAATATAAAGCTATCAGGTAAACATTGTGAGCATGCAATAAATTTAAACAGGATTTAGACTCATTTTTTATATAGAAATCCATAGTTTACATATGAGTATGGTTAATTAGTTTTTTTTTTTTAATTTTTTCTATAAAAATGTGAATCAAATTAGCAGGTTTCTATAGGTAGATCTTCGTGCACCAAATTTACTGGACTTTTGGACAACCTCTAACATCCGTTCACTTATATAAGAGATATTTGTTCATTTAAGGCATTATTTCATTCAAGGCCAATAAAGAAAACGATAAAAATAAGGTTAAATATAAAATGAGTTTTTTTTTAAAGGGCAGGGCGTATAATAAAAGTATAAAATTATTAAGAAGGATAGTATGATTGCTTAAAGGGAAATTTTATTTAGATGTTAGCAGCTGCAAAATCTTTATGTAACCTGACGAAAATTTTGAGAGATCTCGTACCCCCGGAATTAGGTATAATCTTGTTCCTAAAAACATCAAAAACATTTACGAAAATCTTTTCATTGACATCGTGGTAAAATTTATTTAGGGTAAAACTCATAGCTCAAGGTAAAGTTGTTTTCACCATTTTTTTTACCCTTATATGCTTTTATATGAAAAAAGTAGTCGGTTTGTTGGTAGTTTCCGGTCTGGAAGGGTTTATGATGTCATCCAGTAACACACTTAACTAAGCTATTTAAAGGCTTAATATGTTATAAGTACAAGCCAAATTTGAAATAAGTACTACTAGAATCACGGTGTCAGAACAACAAGGAAAAAAGAATTTTCTATGTTTAGAATAGTAGGTGAATCTAATATTTACCGTGTAGGCTACCTCATTAACGAAGAGCTACAGTGTCACTTTTAAAGATCTTGAAGCGCTTACTCACTGCAGCCTCAGTATATAACTAATGAAACTAGGAAAGTGACACATAACCGCATCCATTAATCATTAAATTTAATTCGTTTTTAGTAAAACTATATAGACTTTTTATATATACTTAACCGCAAATGAGCACACACGCCATTGATCTGCTGCTATTTTAAAAAGAGCCGACATACTAACATAAATACAGTGTTTGTTCTAATTATTTAAAACATTTATGAAAAAACTAATAAACGGGGTTTTATCACTACGACCGCGGTGATACACTAGTCGGCGATCCTGTAAAGAAACATGTTAATGTCAACCTCTACTTTCCAAGGGTGTCAGACAGCATCGTTCATCAAGCCCTCTACTGGGTCAGATTACAATTAAACCCAGACTAACATGACTAGTATACGATTTTATGATTAAACAGCCGATTCATTAGTTCATAATATTTGATGAATTTCTATCTGGTAAAATTAGAAACAACAAGGCCAAACCTACTAAGGTAGGGCAAAAAAATTTTCGAGTTCAAAGCTACTTACGTGTAGCTTTGTGCTTAGTAGTTTTGAAGCTGTGAGAGTGAAATGACTAAGGGGAACTCACCCTGAAACTGGGGCTTCATTGTAAACCGTGAATATAAATAGGAAGAAAAATAAGTATTTTTTAAAAATTAAAACATTTTAGGTTTTTGTAGCTTAGCAATTACAAATTTCTTTTTTAAGTTTCGTCAATTCTTTAAAAAAATAGTTTAAATCGGGACCAAATGGAATTCTAATATTATATTTCATAGGGCAAAGTATAGAGTTTATTAGATATAACTGCGGCAGTAATCTAAGTTTTAAGAATTACCGAGAGAAAGTTAGAAATACGTTCTTATATTTAACAGTAAAAATGAACGTAATACACAACATATACCTAATATTTAGTGCCAAGTTTGAGAAAGAAACGGAAAGAATGTAGTTATTAGAGTTTTGAAAGCTACACGACTAAACGAAAAATATTTACCGAGCTTTCTACACCGTAAATCGTACGAATAAAATTTAGAACTTAGTGTATTTCGATCTATAGGGATTTATAATGTTCCATGCCTACCTAAAAATACTTCATTCATTTACCATTGCTTCTATTTAATTTTGAACTCAAGCATTAGTGAAACGAGTGTTTAAAATAATTTAAGAGGACCATATAAAATTAAGTGAGTAGATGGCAACTTTGTTTAGCAGCTGCTAAGTCTTAGTACACGCAGAATCCTGGATTTGTTAAAAAATGATTTGCTTACATTCCTGTGAATGTCGTTGCAACCACTTCCACTTAAGGGAAAGCCATCTGAACGTCGTGCATGTGCTTTTCTTAATATGTTAAAAAACTATAACCTCCTTATTCAATAATGCGAAGTCGCTTCTTACTAGCAATCTTAATTGTTACCACTATAAATAAAGATGACAAGCTACTTCTACTGACAGTACAAGGGGTTCTCTATACGACAAGCCCAAGTATCTTTTTTTTCGCACTATGGGAAGTAAAAACTTAGCCGGGTGTTTATAATCCATAGCCCCTTCCTCAGAAGACTTAGCCCGCAGAATCGTTCTAATATAAGAAACCTTTTAAGGCAGACCCAAAGAGCTACTCTGGGTAGGCACTTAAACAGTAATATTATTGCATGGTGCTGCAGAATCGACAGCTAAAGAATCCCCCATTTAGTCCACTTCCTTCAGGACCGACATCCTTACTTGGACTTCGATTTAAAGAGGACATGACGAGCGGTCGAATAACGGCCCAAAAGTCAATGGTCATAACAAAGTCATTAATATTGTAAAACCAATGAATATACGTGAGAGTGCAGAAGAAAAAGAGGAGAAAAGGAAATAGAGACGCTCCGTTATACTAAAAATTATAATTAAAAATCTAAAAAATGCACCTGCAAATAAAATTTAAGTTTCATAAGTTTTAATAAAGTTATTATTAAGTGAGCATACAAAAATTCTATCTCACCATGACCTCGTACAATTTATTTGATACTAAAGCTTAAGTGATGAGGGTAGTTAAATGGTACGTTGCGGCTACACGTTAGTTGTTACCAATTAGCATTTAAACAGTTTCTCTTTTTTACTACATTTTATTTAAATGGTAAATAAGTAATATCTTAAAAATATATTTTTTTTAATAATAGCTTACTATTTTAAAAAAATTATGGATTTATTTAAACCTTCGGTTAAAAGGGATGCTAATAAGATCGTTAAAGGGACTTCAAAAAGTTTTTCTACTTTAAATCCGAAGGACACTAATATAAATTCTTCTTTACTCAATGATCGTAATAAACAACTTTTAACGAGAAATTCAAAGGATAATTATAATGACATGCCTTATACTGAGTATGTTCTTCGGGCAGCTTTGACTAATAACCGGTCTTATCATCAAATGCGTTTTACTGATAAGACAGAATTTAAGGTTGGCCTTTATACAAAAACAATATTTACTTTTTCTTTCTTTATATCCATTTTTCAGTATACCTTTATACAAAAACAGTTTACTTTTGTCTTTCTTTATATTCATTTCAGTATAGTTTTTTAGGCTATTAATTGCTATATATTTTGAAAAATATGTTAATTTTTTATCTAAAACTAAAAACTAAAGTTTATTAAACGTTACTACTTAACAAAGTGGCCCACAGAATTTACTATTCAAAAAGAACCCCAAGAAATCTCTGACAGATTCGAAAGGACTGAATCTATAAAAAGTTATATCAATATAATATTTTATTACTTATGTAAATAGTGATGTATGTACCTTTAGACCAAATACAAGTGTTTAAAAACGAAACTAAAGTTGGAAAAGTTAAACAAGTTTATAAAAACAAAAAAAGGGAAAGAGATTGGTGGATTGATTCCAACGTAGGCCCCGGTATTATACCTTAGTTACTTTATTTATTGCAAAAAGAATATAGAAAATCGCAACTAACCAACTTTAAAAGTTTATTAATATTACTGTATTGTTTTGTAAGTAAAACATTTTTAAGTTCTTCTAGTATTTAGATTGTCTCTAAAATACTTTGTTCTTCTTCTATTTTACATAAGTTGGGCTAAGTTATAATGATAAACATTGAACCTATTAAAAAGAGTGTATAAGTTTGCTGTAAGTTGATCGTTTTAAAGACTACTTGACGGCGATTCCCGACGCCTACAATGCAGCACTATAAAAGTTTAAACTTTGCTTGTCAGTTTTATAATTACGCCTTTTGTATTTAGTGAATCTTCTTTAATTAGTGGGCGCCTTCCAAAGCCTGCTACTATTATGTTTACAATATTTCTGACCACTCACTTTTGCAAAGTATTAATACTGCTACTCTCTTTTTTTCTTTGTAAATTGGCTTTATATTTTCTACTTCTGGCGTGGACTTGCCGTATTGTAAAACCACTATTCATCCAGTAAAATGTATTAACCATTTTGAGCAGAGAAAAGACGTTTTTTAATTCTATTAGCGCTTAAAAATTGTTTCAGTTATTATTTATTTTCTTGTTTGCAGTAATATTCATTCACTTATTATTTTTCTTTTTACGTAATAGTATATTTTTAATTATAATCTTTTCATTAGTTTCAGTTTCTTCCCTTTTTTTAAAGATTTTATTTTTATTTAACCGATTTTTACTGTCCTTTTTATATTTTTATTAGAAATTAAACTACGAGGACGTCGCGCGGACGCCCACAGCTCTTCTTTCTATGTCATGCTTGTCAAAGTGTCTTTTTAAGCTCATATTAAATCTTTTCAATACTGTTTCATTTTATTCCATTAGTTTATAATTATCTAATTTAGATTTAGTGGTAACCTATTTTATTAAAGTTTCCTTTCCTACTTCTGTCATCTATACTCTTCCCTTTTTAGTTCTTTTCTTTTATATAGTATCGTCGATTATGGCTTTATTATATATTAAAGTAAAATCTTAAGTAATAAACTTTATAAACGGATTCAACTTTGGTGCGCTAGTAGTGTCCTGGATCGAAGATTGCCCGTTGATTTTTTTTTCAAGCTGGTTGTTAGTTTTAGTTTTATTTATATAAATTTCTCTGTGCTATGCTCGATGTGGTGATCTCCCTTGGATAGGGTTGCGCTCCATTAGTATCACCGCTTTAGTTTATCTAGCCCGCTTGGCTGTTTATAGAAAGAACCAAGGCTGTCAGGAGGTGGAGCATCCTCAACTTTTTAGTTGCGCAGGCCTATAAAGTTTACCTGCAGCAGCATTAGTTGCAGATATCTTATATATTGGTGTTGTCTAATATTTATGAGTTTCGAAGGGGATCTGTTTTAATTCTTTTTATATAAAAAAAAAATTTACTTAATTTTGTGTTTCTATTTTATCAAAAGAGCTCATACACTTTTTCTCTTTTTTTAAGGGAAATGACAATGAATTTGAAGTCTTACCTCTTCAAAAAAATTATATTTTTAGGACAAGAATGTGCGAAAAGGATATGTCTCTTGAAGAAATAATGGAGAATGTAAGCTAGAAACTTTTATATACCCCAAAAAAAAAATAGTAGTACCTTAAAAATATTACTTGGAAAATTGTACATCTTTTTTGTGTATTCGAAGTATATGAAGCTTCTCTAATTATTACATTACCTGTAAAGAGAGACAAAAAAGAAGCAGAGAGGGTCGAAGCAACCAAAAGATTTGCTGATAAACTTGATACCTATGTTAAACGTTCTTAACTGTCGCCTTTGTTTTGACCTTGAGCACGCGGAATTCATTGTATTTTTTAACGAAAGCCAAAACTAAAAATGTCAAAACGGTCGAAACGGATATTGACGAGGAGTACTTTTCGCCTGGAGAAGACGCGGAAGATGAGAAGCCCTATTCTCTAGCGAAAAAAGGGAGTAAAGTTGAAGAGAAGGTCAGTAAGTTGAGCGCTTATAAGACACGGGGCGACTTTTTAAGCTTTGCGCGTAGTTAGTTTTAGCGTGTACGCTTCGTCTAATTAGCTTCAACGAATCAGATGGAATCGGAGGAGGCCTACAACTATAATGCCACTTTCACGGACGATGAAAGTGAAAAGGAACAGGAGAGCGAAAATTATGAAGTTCCCTACATAAATATTATTTGTTTGCCAGCCATTTGGATAATGAAAAACAAGATTCTTACTGTTTTATATAATAGAAAAAAACACCGCAAGTGGCATCAGCAGATAACGAGGTTACTTGTTTGCCTTCCTTTCACGTCCTTTTCGATCTCCATTGAAAGTTTACCTTCAGTCAACTTACTTTGAAGTGGATGCCAGACAAAATTTCCAATTGGTTAATGTGAAAGAAGGTCGGTTGTTACTTTATTGTTCTTATTGTTGGTCTTAAGCTTTTAACATTTGTTGAAATTTTTGACACATCCAACGAAAAATTCGTTATTATGAGGCAGAATGCTCACAATTTAACTGCGTTTCATTCATAATTATTGCTATAAAAAAAGTGTGACTTAGTGTTCCTGCACCCCTTTGCTCTGGCTCACGCAGCATGTAATTATTTCCATGGCCACCCAAATGTTGCCTTGCACCTCTAACACCACGTGATTATGCAATTGTAGATTATAGTACAAAACCGAAGCATTAAACTCAAAATTATTTTTTACTGCAGACGAATTACTTACTCCTCAACTTGTTACGGATTGGCTGCAGCATCGCCCCAATAAGAAAGAGTTGTTAAAATTTTTTTCGCGTCACTTGAAACTTCATGGTTGCGAGGACAAAGAGACTCAAAAGCTAAAACTTAAAGAAATCCTTAAGGAGGTACGATTGATTTACGCTTCTACTTAGCTGGGACGCAAGCAAGCAAGCTCTATACTGCTGAGCATAAATATTTTACTTATAATTTCTAATCAGATTGCAAAGTTCGAGAATAATTTATTTGTGCTGAAAAAGGAAGTCTGAAAAGTAAAATTTTCTGTTTGTATCTGCGCATTCTTCTGTTATATTAAAGATATTTAGTTTCTTTTTAAATATAAGCCCTCCTGAGGATATTATTACTGCAAATAAATTGAAATGGAATTTCTTTAACTAGCACCCCCTTTTAATTTTTACAAAAAAAAACTTTGGAAGACGGTTCCTACCAATAAAGGCTCTAGAATTAGAGATAACCAGAATGAGCGGGTGAGAAAGTCTATTGGTTTGCGGTAAACTTAGTTAATGGCCAGTAGGAAAAAGGCATTACTCCACTCGTGCTCTCTTCTCCATTTTTCCTGAGCACTAATTTATTTAATCACCGTTGAGTACGTTTGCAAAAGACTTTTTACTACTCGTCTATTTTGCCTTCTTAACAATTGACTGCGGGCGAAGCAGCATCGATGAAAACTTTTTCCACAATAATCCCTTATTTATTATAAAACCGAGCCCTCTATTATAATTTTATTAATATAAGCTGAATTGCTATCGCTTAGTCACAACTTTAGCCCACTTTGGCGATTCCGGCTCAACGAGAGGTTTATTAGAATGCTTGACCTTGTGAAGATTATTATTAAATATTATATTGCAGATAATTAAAACATAAAAAAATCACGTCATGATTAATATTTACCAAGCGACATTAATCTTGTAGTTCCTTGTAATAAGTAGTATATAACAAAAAGTTCAAGAGGAGAAGTTTAAATTCATGCGATTAAATAAACAAGATAGTTTTGTTTATTTTTTACAAAAAAATATTAAAATAACTTTAATCTTTTTACAGTATTAACAGTTATATCTTGTTTTTACGGACGATATAAGTTTTCTTTAGAATTATTTTGCAAATATACTTAGACTGAAAAAGTTAAAGAAAATAATCTACTTATAACTAAATAGTTATTTTTATAGTTTGTTTTTTGACGTAAAAAGAGATTTTATAAAAGCGGGCGTGTTATCCATAAAGGGCATCCCGAAACCCACGAAGCTGCCTCTCTTTGAGAATACTCTTATGTAAAGTGAACATTGACATAAATCGGCTTTATGAAGTTAACAAAAGGCATAGTCAATTTATGTAATTAATAAACACCTTACATATTATAAAAAGTTAAGTTACACAGTGAGAATAATCATAATATATTACCTCAAATTTGGGCAATACTTTGAATGGCCGTGCTTTATGAACCAAACTCTAGATATTAATTTATACTGTAAATATATAAGAAAAGATGCTTATTCATAATATTGTAAAAAGTGTTATTCAGAGTAATTAAATGCTATTAAAAACTAAACAATACTATTAAATATATAAAAGTAGAGACTGAGATGAATAAACCTGGCGTAGTTGTCTAAGTTCCATTTCTTCCGCGAATTTTTTTTGTTCTAACTGGCGTTTCTAACAATACAATTGGATTTCAAATAAATTGGCTTAAAAAAAAAAGTTCAAAAATAAAGTAATACTTGATAAAATAATTGCTTTTGTTCTTTTTGTTTTAAGTAGTTTTCAAATTCTTTTCTTTCTTTGGCCCTTAACTCTGTTTGAAGGAGAATTTCCTGGCACTATTACAAATAATATAGATTATTTTTTAACTAAATATTACTTATAAACAAGCTTATAATATTTACGACAGTCAAGGGCTTTGTACTTTTAAAAATAGGTTTCGGATCCTCAAGGGATTTTATATGACCCACATGATCTGAAATCTATAGTGAAAGAAAAGTATTGCAGCAAAGAATAATAAAGACAAAAAGCTGAATATCTTCTTTAATAAATTTTCTGTTCCAAAAGCTTAATTTAAGGGTGATATACGATAAAGTTACATTTTCTTTAGCGGAGAATTCAGGGCTCGTCATTGCGAACGCCAAGTCCGCGCGTTCAATAAAGTGAAAGCACTCGCAATCGGCCAAACAGATCGTGAAGGGCAGATTTTTTACATTTCATAAGCTTAAATGTAATTCTAGTTATAGCATACAATTCACATAAAAGTTTAAATTTTTGGATGAGCCCGCTGGTTTCGTTATTTAAAAGTTTACCATAATTTTTTTTTGGAATTATTCTTAGATATTTTAATATTTACCTTTAACCTTACTTTAAAAGATTAAAAGTTAAACTCTGTTAAAACCCTAAATTGTCGGTTTTTTAAAAAAAGGGTGCTCGTACTTCCTATAACATAGTAATATATATTTTAAAAGGACGAATTGGAAAAGTTACTAACTGAGCTTAAAATAATACAAGAAACGGCTAATTGTAACGTACACTTTATCTGCTAGTTCTACTCAGGCTGAAAAAAGTTTTAAAAACACAACCTTACTATGCTAGCATACTATTCTATGAACTGCAGATAGGCGGTAGAGTCTCTACAGAATTCGACATAAAGTTATATGAATTTAACCTTGTTGCAAATTAAAAATACAAAGTCTGTTCTAAAATTATATATCAAGCACCCACTCTTACAGATAGGTACAATGCTTAATTTCTTTTTTCTTGTTGCATTTTTGCTTGTCCATTTGATTTTATCGTTTTCACCACCAATTATAAATAAATACATTGATTGATAAATCTCCCATTACTCCAGAAAGCGGAAGAGCAAATTATGGGAACCAAAAATCGTATATCATAATATTGATTCCTAACAGAGGTGATTACTTTTAATTAACTTTTAACCATTTAATGTCGCGGTTCATTTATAGATATATGTCCTTAGTAAAGACTAAAGCAAAGGAGGAACTTCTCCACCCCCTTAATATGCTAAAAAATTATATAATGGATTAGCTTAATTTCTCTTCTAGTTTTATGGTTGGTACCACGTGTATTTGCTGTAAATTGGTCGGTGTAGGATAATAACTTCGATCCAAAGATTTCTTAATCATTTATTGTGGTATCTGATAACTAAAAGGTAAAAAATAAAACTAGCATTCTTAAAGTAAAAAGTTAATTTTTTGCTAGAATGCTGTTATTTTATGAATAGCATGCTGTTAAAGCATGCTTTCTTAATATGTTAAGGTTAGTAAAGTTGATCCCTAAAATAATAGTGTAATAACTAATTACCTAAATTTAAATTTAATTACAAGTGATTCTCACCTTATTTAACAGTTCTAGAAAACTTGTAAGTTATATTAAGCAGGTCAAAGTTGTATATGACAATTTTTAAATTTAAAACAGATTTAAATAATTTTTTTATTCTTATAAGGGAATGAATGATTTTATAAAAGGTTCATAATATGGGCCTCCCTTACAATTATTACCATAACGTGGTCTTAAGTTTATACTGAGGAAGACTAAGCGTAATAAATAACAGGCCGAACAACTGGAGTAGTACAGCTCTATATTTTATAAGAACCTAGCTTATTACACAGTATATACTAGTAAATAACACTTAAAATAATATCTATATAATATTCAAGCTCTGAAGGTTCCAGTCCTTTAAAATAACAAAGGCAAAAATTTAAGGTAGGCGACTAGCCTAGTGATGATCGATGATCAGGGAGTTATATACTCAGTAATTTTTCTGCCGCATGCTTTCTGGCTTTCGTCTTGGCGAGAACATTTCTAATCGGAGCATTTGCATTCGAAAGCACTCATCGTTCTGAATATATTACTAAGAACTATGATAAAAATAACTTAGTATTAGCTGTTATAATCACATTCATTTATAACGAACGCGAAAGTAATGCTTTGTTGATGACTTGGGCTGCTATACTTAGAAGGCGATGGTATCGTCTACTCAGGTGGTATTTTTTGTAATAAAGTTTTAAAAGAAAAATATCTTTTTGAAGTTTAAAATGTGGTTTGGCAGTACCTCACTAATTAATCACTACCCTAGTTCTAATACAAGTATATCTCACTCCCTATATTCTTTCTTTTTATTTAATTTGCACGTTATTTAACTCCCATGGATAATATCAAGTGTATGTTAAATTAAGTAGCAATTAGTTTTCATAAATTTTCTAGTTATATTTTAAAAAAATAATCATAAAAAGTTATACTTTGAAAATTTTGTTAGCAACTTCTTTTTTAATTACTTTTTGTTACTTCTAACATTACAAAAGGATGACTAAACCATGCTAATTCTGAGCGTCCGTATGGGCACGTTCGGAAGATAATCTTGACAAAGTCTGATTTATTCTCTATGGCTTCTGCTTATAATATTTAATTTTTTTTTTAACTAATATTAACTTCTGTAGTTACCTCTCTTTATTTGATTTTATTTCCTTATTTTGTGAATAAACCAAAGTTATATTTTATAAGCTATAAATTTTTTAACAATTTTTTTGGATATTTTGTAAATAATTAATTATATGCAATATTAGGACTTAATTTTAAAATAATATATACTATTATCAGTTCGTTATTTATATTTATCCACTAATAACTTAGCATGTATTCAGTATATACCTTTTACTTAAGTGATTTCTTTTCAAGTGCACTGAACCCGGTAGAAAAAGGTCTATCTTTTTGTTTATTAAGTGTTCCAATAAGTTTTTTTGTAAGTGACTGTTATTTGTAAATTGATTCTCTCTTTACTTAAATTTAGTTTTTTTACTTTAAAATAACCTTTTTTAACTAAAAATTAAATTGTTAACGCAGGGTAATTAAGGCGGGTGCTTTAACTTCAAAAATATTACTTTAAAAAATAAGTAGAAGCCTTATCTTGTTGAACGTTGAAACTAAAGACCCCGGCATCAATATAACAAGAACCCCTTGAGCTTGTTAGACACCAGCTCGAGTAGTTAAATTTCTTGCACCAAAAGTGTTTGCCACGATTTTCTCCTTCCTGTCTTTATTAAAAAAGGGTGATTCCACGAAATTTTTATCAAAATTTTGTTATTAATTAGTTGAAATTGTGCAATTATTTAAAGGTGCAGTATTTTGTATGCAACGATATCCCCCTTCCAAGGTGACTTGGTTATGGTGCTATTTGAAAACTTCTCTCGGTGTGGTACGCTTTTGGGACTAATGTCAAGGCATACAAACTCCGCTATACGCTGAAAACTTAATTATGTGACATGAAAAGGTGCACGTTACCGTCGCCCTCGCCGTGTATCCCAGAAGCGCCTTATACTCATTAGTATATAAAAAATGTGATGTATAAATAACAGTTTTGAGAAACTTTGTACTCAGTTTATATTATATAAGTATTAATTACATTGTACAGTAGTATGAATAAAGCAGCAACCAATTAATTCATCAATACAAGAAGGAAACTGTGTATTATTCTAAAGTTACTATTTAAAACTTCAGGGCCGTACAATTAACAACAAATTTCAAGATAGATCTATACTCTTTTAAATTGTTATCACAATCTTCTTCACCAAATTAAAAAAAAAATTAAATAGAACTTTAAAAAATTACTATTAATTTATTTATACCAAAAATTCGTTACCAGTTTTACTAAGTTCCATCTCAAAATAAAGAAAATCGGTGGAAAACCCCAAGAGGTCAGGTTATAATACAATTAAGTGAACCCTTTTATACTACGCCATCAAAATGCTCCATGTTTATAAATAAATTAGGGTAGTTTATATAACCACCCGGCACAACGTCCTATGCAAAGATGTGTCAATATTTTATTAATAGACGGGGCAATGTGAACTTTTAAATTTCTTCATCATAAGGCAGGCCGTACACTTTCATGTAATATGGAGTTCATATCAAGCCCGAAATAAAAAAAACAGCGCAACTATGATAACACATTGTGGTATAAAATAATATATACATTTTAGGGGTTTTGCTTTCTTGGTAACTGTGCGTTGTAAAGAGTAAAATCATATAAATATAATATTTCCGTTTAAAAAATTAATAAAAAATTTTTAATTGGGTCATAGTTGAGTTAGTTTCTTAAAATTGCATAAGAAAAAACTAGTAAACGGGAATAAACGAACAGGTTAACATATTGAATTTTTTGTTGGCAATAGAGTTTCTACCTCCTCTTGCGCCAGTCTGTATACAATACGTTTTAAATTTAACCTCATGTCGGAAGGAAGCCCCTAAAAAAGGAAGAAGGCGAATTAACTGTTATTAGCTTACGTTATTAATTGATTATGAAAAGGTTAGATGGAATAAACTCTAAGGTAACTTGGAAAGTAGTTGTAAATTAAATTGTTTACTCAGTATCTTATAAAGAAATTAAAAAACCAACGACCATAACCCAATTAATATAGCTATTTACACTTAACATCAGTCACATGCTGAATGTGTGATATGTAATTCAATTGATTTAGTTAAAGAAGTTGTCTCTTATATTTAATAAAAATTTTGTTTTTTTTTAAATTTCTAATTATGTAAAAATGGAAATTTCTATGGATATTAGAAGTTATAGGTTATACAAAGTTAGAAAAACTTTAATGGAGTTGTTATATGATAGGGGCTTTCAGATTTCAGAATTTGATTTGACTTTTACTGCCGAAGATTTTATAAATAGATTTTCAAGTTATCCGAGGTATAAGTTTATTTTGGTACCATAAATTAATACAAAACGGAAAATATAATTTAGGTTAACTATTAAAAAAGTTTTTTATTCTTGTTACTTTAACCTTTCAACGTTAGAGGTCAAGTTCTTATATTACCTGAAAAATTTACCGATACATTTTGTTATACGATATAATTCACTAGAGTTACTAAAGTTTTAGACTTTAAAAATTCGACATTTTTAAGCTTACATTGCGACCCTGTGATTACTTGTTGATTACCTGTATAATCTGTTAAGATCTTGATAATGAAAGTGCCTTCATTTCTTCTGTTACTTTTTACTATAACTTTTGTTTGTCTTGGTTTAATGGTAAAATTAATATTTTTTTAACTTTTATTACTCGTCATATATAATTTCGAACCACTATTGAAGGATCTTTATGTTATATTTACTAGAATAATTGTGTGTATAGCACAGCCAATTAAAATTTTTACAATATTGTTAATTAAATTTATAAGATGATTACTTTTCAGTTTGTCTGATTTAACCATCTTTGCTCGTCGTAAGGACAACGAAGAGGATTCTATTCAGTGCGTTTTTCCTTATTCGGGTAATTAGCTAAGTTAAACTATGGATATTTATAAAATTAATCTTATTAATTTTATCTTTAAAAGATCCAGAGAAAAAGGTGGGCGTAGAAGCTATAAGAAAACTAATTTTTACTCTGACAAATGAGAATGTTAAACGGTCCATTATTGTTGTCGAAAATGGAATTTCTCCCGGTGCTAAGCAAGTTAATAAATACGATTATATAATATGATTATCAATGGTGCTTTTATTTAAAAAATTTATAGAGCATTTATCTTTGTTTTTACTATTAATTTTGTTTCAATACTTTAAGCCGTGGCCATTTGCCGGTTAATTACTTGGTTCGCGGTAAGTGGGAACTTCAGTGGCCAAATAAATTTTTATTACTAAAGTCTATTTGTATTTGGAGTACTTCTTACAACGTAGCACTTATTGCTTACTCGTTGTTAACATTTTTAAAGGTTTAAGCCATATATATAATTTTTTTAAGTAAAGTTTTAGTTATACAATACGGAAGTCTGTACATATATATGTATATATTCAATATTACAATTATCTTTTTGTTTTTGGTTTCAGAAATATGGTTACTATTTTTATTAAAATAATTAAAATTATAATAGCCTTGCTACTATTTTTCTAAAAAATATGTAAAAAAAATAAGAAAAAATAAAACTTATACTACTCAGTGTTTATATAATATATGTTTTCTATAATGAGTTTTATAATAAACTCGCTTAAAGTCAGTACCCTAATCTTTCTTTGTATTATCATGGTATATATTTTATAACTTATACTATTTACATATTTAATCTACAGGCTATTGAGAAAGGAAAAGAATTGAATTTAATATTTGAAGTGTTTTTACTAGATGAACTTGTGGTAAATATCACGCGCCATCGACGAGCTTACAAACATTCAGTACTCACGAGTCAGGAGAAACTCGATTTGCTAAAGAGACAGTAACATAAATTTTTATTTTTTTGTATGTCAAAAAAGTATTAGTATAGTTTTTATGTAGTATAGATATTCTGGTATAAATAAATATTACGTTACTTAATTCCGTTATAAAAGTTTTTTTAACAATTAATTTACTATTAAAAACTTAACTTCTTTATAAGTAAACTTAAAGAAAGTCAGTTACCACGCATCCTCACATCTGACCCGATGGCTAAGTACCTCGGAGTTACTAAGGGGCAGGTATACTTTATACTAATAGTGGTTCACTTTCTTATTATTAATGGTAATTTATTAATCTTTGATAATAAAAGTATTATATATAATAAGCGAGACTCATTTACTAAATTTTTATCTATAACATAGGTAAAAATGTAATTTTATTTGCTTTAGTAATTTTTTTTTACTCAATCTAATTCGGATATAGAGTTTTTATAATGCGTTTTAAAAGTAGAATTCTCCATTTTTTATAGCTGAGTCTCTTCCAAGTTATTTATGAAAGATAATTCGAGAGAACAAAAAATTAGTTATAATTAACTTTATAAAGATCGTTATTTCATATAAAAGCAGTTAAATAGAAGAGAGTTACTCAAACCTTTTTTAGGTCGTCAAGATTCACAGAAAAAGTGAAACTGCGGGATCTTACGTCACCTATCGCCTGGCAGTAAACACCGTATGAAAAATAATAAATAAAGGAAATTTAGTTTGTTTTCTATTATTTGCTATTTCCTAGAGAACGTTAGACTTTAAAAAGGTAGTAGTTTGTCACCAGTAGGAGTGTCAAAGAATCTTACCGGTTAGATAAGTAGAATAAGAAATTGAACATCTTAATTTTATAAATGCATACCATTCACTTGAGTGCACGCATTTGCCCACTCTGAAAGAAGTATTTGGGTGCTATTGTATCTTTTTATGTGTTGATTACAGGAGGATGCGCAGTGTGTGGGTAAATTTTTTCAATAATTCTCTATTAAAATTTTACCCTAGCCAAGTATATAATTTTGATTTACAATAGGGGATACTTTATTATTAATTAAGCTTCTAAAATGTATTGTCGAAGTAAAGTTTTGATGTACGTAAACTATATTATAAAACCTTTAAGGGTTAAGTTTTTGACACCGTTCCCTTAAGTTTATCTTTTTTTTTTTTAATTTAGAATTGATACCAATTAAGAGGATTATATCCGCTTTATATGAGATAAAGTTTCCGTGATATTTAACCTAAAGTACCAACATAGTCGGCATTTAAAAGACCTCTAACTGCTTATTCTTTACTTCCCACACCAAGAGAGGTTAGGTTTTCCTGAGGAATGTGTAGAGATTGTTTCGAAATGGGGAGAAGCGAAAAAGTAATATGTAAGCGAACCACCGCCATATGCTCCTTAATTGAACTTCTTGGAGGCACTAGCCTCTCTATCCCGCTTGACCAGGCTTTTAGCTATCAACTTAACTTGTGGTATGTTCTTAAGGGAGCTTTTAATCGTACTATAAGCTACCATGAGCATAGCTTACTGCTTGCTTACTGATTATGTTATCGTATACAGATGAGCGAATACAAAAAATAATTTGTAGCTTAGACCACTAGCCTTATTTAATTTAGTGTAATATACCCCTTTTTTTGGTTGAAGTAATATTCCCATTTTTTGTTTATCTCTTTGTTTTAAGGACTCCTGATATCAACACTAAAGCCTTAAAATTTTAAACCTCATATACAATAGTATAGGCAGAGATACTAGGTTTACTGGCATTTTGATATTCCTTAGTACTACTATTTAGTTGGATCAACCTCTTCCTGAGCCTTGTTGAACTTGTTGCCTTAAATGTTCTAGTGTGGCGGACTGGAATAACTTCTTTTTTAAAAGGAAAAAAATCCACCGCCGAAATTTAATTTTTGTGGTACCTTCCGTAGATTCAGTTCTGTACTCGGAGTTGTACATTACTCTGAAAAGTTTTCTGTACCGACACGGTTCCAAAAATAAGCGTAAAAAATCAGTAAGACCCCACATTACCTGAAGTCATGCGACAACTGTTATCCTTTTCATTTTAAACAAAAAACCAAGTTTGGCCAAGAATTTTTATTATAAAATGCCTAGGTTGTGAATATGCCAGTAAAAATATTTGACAAGCCAAAAAAAAAATATGGTAACCGAAGGTCCTTTCTTTTTGTATTTCTTTTTGCGGGAAAGGTGGAGAGTCAGTAGTTTTGACTAGTGCCGAGTTGAATTATTATACAGAAGGATTAGCTTAAGAAACGCACGTTTAGCGCATAGAGGACAGTCACTTTAGTCTATAGAGTCCAAGGCGTAATTAGAAGCTTTTTGTTACGAGATATAAAATGAACCATAGATTTTCTTTTCCAAAAATTATCTATTACATTTGAAATATGTAACCTATACACTACTTTAGCAAAAAACAAATTAATTAAGGGGATTTAAAGCATAAGAAATCGTGAAATTCCAAAATACAAGGTTATTTATATACAAGTTGCATGGCACGGTCTAAAGACATACTTTTCCTTTTCTGCTTAACTCTTTTGTAGTGAAGGGAAGATGTAATATCTCCGGTTTTTTTTATTTAACGAATCCTGGTGTCGATCGATTTATCAGCGTCGATTACTTCGAGCTTTTATAAAGGTAGAAGTGTTTGCAAGTACGAGTTAAACTTTATCTTAAAGTGTGTCCTTTACAGGTTATATAAGCAAAGCCATTTAACCGGTATCGTGAGTTGTCTTCGTAGCTCAAATAATAAGAGCAATGAATCTCAATAAGTCTTGGGTCCGACTCCCTCTAACGTAAGGTGACTCTCTTTTTCAGCCTATGTTACCTACGTATTCAACCTCGACCTCTTAATATCTAACATCCTTCACATTCGATTTAAACCCCCATTTAGCTTCCAACCACCGCGTGACCCACGACTAGCGCATCTATCTATCCTTTTGTAAAAAGCGACGCATTACTTTAAAAAATTGTGGTCCGGCTATAGCTGTGGTTTCGCAGCAATCTAATTTTTCGCACCGTTAAGTTGGATACCTATACATCAAATGTATATGTCAGATCGGTCAAATAAACTTCGACAAAAATGTAGGTGTCTTTAAGCCCAGCGGTTTTAATATTTATTCTATCTGATATTTAAATAGGGCATTAACATACCCAAACGGTAGAATCGCTCCATCGCAATTTGCGTCATTCCATTATTGTAAAGGCAAAATAATTGATACTCACCTTATCTAACTCACTTATTCTCTCTGAACTTAAAGTGCAGAAGCTATTGGCGATGAATCGAAGGTCTATGCCGCAGAAGCGAGTATCAGTTATTGGCTAGATGCAAGACAATCGCCGTTATTTGCGCAGTGTGAGCTTGCTCTCGCTGCATAGTAAAGGGCAAAGCGCTTCCCCATTACGTAGAACCCGTGGGGCCTTCACGAAAATTTGTTATCAAATGATGACTCCAAGGTCTCTCACTTGGAAGCACAGCCGGGGGCGCGTTTCCACCTTATTAAAAAGGCTTTAACTTAGTATTAATAGCGACCTTACATATACGACAACAGTCGGCGTACGCGTCAAGATAGCCCTGCAGATGCTGGGCACAACAAGGTGGGTGACTTCGACGACGAGTATATGGTTGTATCGTCGGTGTATATAGGGCACGCGTATGTAGAATGCGAACAGTTAGGGCGAGAGAACAGATTTTGAGGGGTTCCTGCTATTAGTAATCGCAATGGCGACTGTGTACCTCGCGCACGCTGAAGACACAATTGTTTAAATATGACTTCAAAACCTCGTTAAGATCATGAGAGTTGATTAGCTTCCGCAGACACCATGCCAACTTGTTCAAATGCTTTCTAAACGTCAAGGAAGACAGCACCTGTTACCTTTTTTAAGTTAAAAGCGCGAGTAGCTCACTCTGTTAGGCGAAAAGCTTTTAAGTCGTTAAGTTTCCTTGCCGCCACCAAGGCGCCGCGAGCCCGAGTTCGGTGTCTTAGACAGTCTCACAACAGTTACCGCCTTCCATAGGCCTCTTTGGTCACTCCTAAATTTGCTAGGAAGCGAAGATAAGGCATAGCTGCTAACAGCCTTTCTTCAACACCTTGTTAGTAGTGTTATCGGGGCCAGAGTCCTTATTTTTGGGTAGCGCCTTCCCAATCGCTTAAATTTCGTCTGCATTAAGTAGCTTTAGTGTCACGTTAGACTCAGTCAGAGGAAATTCGTATAAGGAATTACCGTTCTGGGTAGCGAAATGATAACCATAAGTGTAGCTTTGTCTTTATCACTCTCAGCCACAATAATTCCAACGCGAAGTGGTGGTAGTGGTACACATGTCCGCAAATTCGGGCCCAATTTACAAATTGTAAAAGGAGGAGGCGGCCGCTGTTGCCTGGCCCCGATATATGGCTCAACCTTGCCTCCAACTTCTTTCGAATACACCTGTTAAGCGCTAGTTTGTCTTCGGCGCTTTGGGACAGCATGGTCACAGGAATAAGCCGTCGACGTTGGATGACAAGTGTCTTCGGTTCGTCTGACAAACGATCGGGGCGGTACTCCACTTCACTTGTTAATGTGGCGGCGGTGTGAGCCTTGGTCAGTGCGCATGCAAGCAAGCAAACAGCATCATCCAGCATGGCGGGAGAGAGCTGAAGAAAGGTTTCGAGATGAGCTCCCTAGTTCAAGACAAACCAGAAGGTGGCCAAACGACGGTTAACGGAGCGCTTCGACCTCCGTCTAAAGATGTATATCTCTTGGTACGGCAATATCCAGTGCATCCATTAAGCCTGTCGTTGCCATGTGCATTGGGCGAAGTAGACCCGAGGAGCACAGCCTTCGCTCATCAGTATAGCTCTTAAAGATTTGTCATTCGGATTATTGACCGGAGTGTTTCATATATATTGCTTGCAGTCAAGTTTTCTACACAGAACGGCTGGTGAGTCAACTGCAATGAAGGCGTCCAGATTGGAGAGCGGTAGAAGCTTTCAAGGGAACTTGTAGGCAGCGATCACAGAACCGGGTCTCTGGTCTGCCAAGCATAGAGGCACTGCCATCGTTTCGATACTCTTCAGAGCTGGTAAATATATTAAATGACATTGAATGCTTCGTTTTTCCAAGATAGCCAAGCCGCCCTGTGGATCGATCCGGTCTTAGCGATACGTATTTACGCAGTTTAAGTGCGACAACGGAGAGAGGCGCGATTCGTTAATGGCGCGCACACAATAATTCTTTCGCGTAGCAATAACTCCTGTAGCTCATTTATTTTGCTCTGAAAATCGTTCTCAATTTAAAATAAGAGTCGAATGTAGCGGCACCTCTTTAACTTAGAAATCAATCAAACAGATTCTAATCCTTTAACAGTTTCGAACATGGTAAACAAAATCGTCGTTAGAATCACCAACGGTGACATAATGCTTTTATAGTTATCAAATAATGTAAGCATATTTTAATAACAGTTTATTCATGATTTAGTAAAGTTATAGTATTCATCAAAAAGAATACTAATCATTACCACTATTGTTATTTATACATATATAGTGGAGGAGTAGGTATTATTTGGCTTGTCGGTAAGATGGCGCTAAGATCTTGAATGATTTGTGTAGTGTAGGGAGGCCATATACAGTGTCATCTAAAAAAAAAATTGGTGTGAGAAAAATTCTAACTTTGTATTTTTTTTACATTTTTTTTCCATTCAGTTTCGTCACGATGCAGACAATATATACAACTCGCAGTCTATTAAAGTATTTCATAAAAGAGTAAAGTCAGGTAGGAAACACATTTGTAATTATAGGGCTTAATAAAAATTATAAGGTTATCCTAAAATCTGTTATTTATAGGCAAGCACATTTATAAAAAAGCTTTAAAGTACCGACAGCTCAGCAAAGATCCCCTTATTTACATAATTACATCAGTAACTTCTTTAAAACTTGGTTACCACATTTAAAGATGAGGCCGTTTAGTCCAGTGCGACGGGCGTCAGAGGGTGAGGTCGTGTGCCCCTTTTGCTATGGCTAAGAACTCCAACTTACTTCGGTTTTGAAAAAAGGTATAACTTTTAAAAACTAGAATTGTATTGTACTTTATTAAAGTTATAAGTAGGTATTACGTTCTCAAACAGGATTTGAACCACTCTAACTGCTTAACAAACTATAAAGTCTATTTGGGAAGTTGCATTACTAACTAATCTTGTCGCTGATGATAATAGTAATAAAAAGTATATAACTACCAATTGCTTGCTTTTTTTAAGTCTTATATTTCTATACAGTTATGACTACAAAAAGAAGACAAGCTACTGTAAATAGAGATTATACCCCCTCTAATACTGATGATCTTATGATAATAAAGCCGCTTGGTGCCGGACAAGAAGTTGGCCGGTCGTGCCATATTTTATCTTATAAAAAAAAGACCATCATGGTTTTTTGATTATTTGTTTATAGACTTATTTTTGTATGGCTTATTTTTTTTTGGATTTAATTTTATCATAAATCTCTTAGCAGTTATTACCATTTTTAATAGTTAGACTGTGGAATCCACCCTGGTTTAACTGGTTTTGCCGCTCTACCGTTCTTTGATGCTTGTGATCCCGCTGAAATTGATCTTCTTTTGATCAGCCAGTAACACTGATTTGATAATATATATATAACTTACACTTAACTTTCAATATTTTAACAAAGCATAAAGCTTGTGCAAGTTTATTAGTTTGTTACAAGATTTTTTTACTTACTGAAATTTTATTATCTTATTAACACTTAATTTTATTTTATAAGCTTTCATCTGGACCATATAGCTTCTCTCCCTTATTTTATGGAAAAGGGGTGTTTAGTTTATATATTTTTTTAATTAAAGTTGACTCCCTCTTTTTAGACAAATTTCAAAGGAAGAGTGTTTATGACGCACCCTACTAAAGCAATTTTTAAGTCCCTTCTGAGTATTTACTCTTAATATCACTTCGTCTTTTTGCTATTTTTGTGGTGCACTTTTTTTTATTCTAGTGACATTTGTGGTACAACTTTACTACAACGTTTCTAAATTGTTTTTACCACACTGTATAAGTACTTTAAGTTAATACTATAAACATATTTATATTTATATTTATGTAACTTAGAGTGCATTTCAAAGAAGAGGCTTTTTATTTGCTGCTTGACTGAATATATTTTAACTTTTTCATACGCTGTTCGATTATTTTAAGTTGTTGGTATCTTTGCAAAGATTATTAATAATTGTGTTAGTGAATCTCTAAATCTAACCGGTAGTGCTGCGTGTTAGCTCCTGAACTTTTTAATGGAACTGGCAGTGTATACTGACTGTATTCCGTTAAAAATAAAATGTTGTTACTAATAATCTTCGTTGGTTTAAATTTTTGGTTTGGATTTTTTATTTCTACTTTACTATTTTTTTATTTCTCAGTAAAAAAACTTTATCTTTTAGGTGATTTTGTAAAACTAAGTAAAATTTCTACGGAAGATATGCTTTTTGATGAACATGACTTGGACAATTGCATGGAAAGAATTGAAACAATGAATTTTCACCAACAAATTGAAGTCAACGGAATCAAGTTTATTCCTTTTAATGTTAATTATATTAATCTCATCAACAATTAATTTTTCACGAAATTCTGTTTCATTCATGTTACTGTGAAATTATGTTAATTTTAAAGCTTTTACTATCGTTTTATTAGATATTTTTCAAATATATAATTTTACTTAAGCTATTTATACTCTGCACATTAATTAATTCCTGGAACTTTTAGTAAATAAAAAGTATAACGATTTTAAGGTTTACTTAAATAGAAAACCACTTAGTTTTATATAAAATACGCCTTTTATTTCATTTGATTTTTTATATAAAAACATTTATAATTCTTTATATGTAGGCTGGACATGTTTTAGGAGCTGCCTTGTTAGAAATTGAAATCGCTGGAGTGCGGGTGTGCATGTGATCCATCCTTATGATAATAATTATTATATACCCTTAGTTTTAAAGAAGTTATATATTATAACGAGCCAAGTTTCTTATTATTATTACTTTCTATGAAGATCCTTTATACTGGAGACTACAGTCGGGAGGATGACAGGCACCTCATGGCTGCTGAAATCCCGCCCTGCAGGCCGGACGTACTCATCATCGAATCCACTTACGGCACAGAAGTGCGTTACTACTCTTCTCTTAACTTTGTTTGTTACGAATCTTAAAAGCCTTCATTTCATCTACTTTATACTTTCATTATTATTATTCTAAAAGGTGCACGAGCCCTCGGAAGAGCGAGAGCATCGTTTTACTTCCACTGTCGATGAAATCGGTAGAGTCACTACGTTCTGTTATAGTTACTGTTTTACTTTGAAGCTCTCTTTGTAGCTTTTTTAGTACTTTATAAAGTAAACATCTACCACTAAACAAAAATAATATAAACTTTGCGCGATTTGGGATTAATTAATTGCATGCTTGGTACGTTAACGACGAGGAGTATTAAAGCTTTCTCACTGCATTTTATTCGCTTTATATTATGTATATTGTATTGTTTTTTGAGCTTAATATATATCAGCTATACGTCATTAATTTTATGTCTTTGGAAGTATCTTGCGTAATTGGTTCTGAACAGTGTCTCGTGGCGGGCGCTGCCTGATTCCTGTTCTTGCGCTCGGCCGGGCACAGGAGCTTCTTCTGATAATTGACGAGTACTGGGAGGTGAATCCCCGCCTCCAATCCATCCCGATCTATTACGCGTCTTCTCTAGCCAATCAGTGCATGAGCGTGTACCAAACTTACATTCACATGATGAACAGAAGGTGCGCAGAATAATGCGTTTGTATGGGAGCACCACTTCTCATTAGTCTTGCAGAATTCAAGAGCAATTTTCCGTTTCTGAAGAAAACCCGTTTTATTTCAAACATATCAAAAGTTTGAAAAGTCTCCAGCATTTCAACGATAGCGGTCCCGCGGTCTTCTTTGCCAGCCCTGGCATGCTTCAGGTCACCGTCTACTGATCCACTATAGCACCATCGTTACTATTATTACCGAATAGAGCGGTACATCGCGCAAGTTGTTTGATCGTTGGTGTTCGAACCCGAAGAACGGCTGTGTTATCTGCGGCTACTGCGTGGAAGGGACACTGGCCAAAGTATGATGTTATTCTCGATCGCACAATTCGCTTCTCAAAACTTTTATCCAAGAAACTTATCCAAGTCGGTAATGTCACCGAAATAACAACTTTTGAGGAAGGAATGAAGAAGCCGTTGAAGATGAGTATAACGGAAATCTCGTTTTCTGCACATGCAGACTACGTGCAAACCAGCACATTCATCGAGGCCCTGCTCCCGCCTCACATCGTACCCGCTCCCTGCTATGCTTCGTTGCGCATGTGTATGTTTCGTGTCAAAGGTTCTTGTGCACGGGGAAGCGAGCATGATGGCTAAACTCCGCGCGGCTTTAGAAAAGACCTATGGCGACCGTATGTACTTTTCGCTGGGGGTATTTCGTCTTGCTTAAAAGTACGTGCCAGGCGAAGACGTTTCAACCACCATTTACACGCCAAGAAACACAGAAGCCGTCGAGTTATATTTCAGAGGCGAAAAGAAAGTGAAGGTCGTATTCCTTGTGGTTCCTGCTACTACAAATAAAACTCTTTTACTACTGAAGGTTCTGGGGACGCTTGCTCAGTTCGAACCGAGCAATGATACCAGTAATAATCTGTATTATTCGTACTCACAATAGCAGCTGCTTTTGCAACTCTACTTATATAATAAGGAACTTATTCGTATTTTGGCTTGAAATTTGTTTTTTTTAACTTTTTTCCCCGTTACGGTCACTATTATTTCCTTATATATAACATTTGCTGGTTTATATTTTCAGATGTTAGCGGAATTTTGGTAAAAAAGAAGTTTAATTATCTACTACTCGACTCTGAAGACTTGGCGGAGTATGCTGGTCTCCCCCCCCCTCTGCATGGCCTCCTTTATTGTAACCAATTACAATGCTATTATTACCCGTGCAGGGCTTCCTGTGACGACCATCACGCAACGGCAAGTTGTCGAATACCACTTTCCCTTTTCTGTGCTAAAGATCTACCTCGCCGCAATGTTCACTGACTTAAAGTTTAATATTGTGAGCGACGACGCAAGAGAGTCTATACAGGTCTGCTCGCGTTGCATGCGGTATATATGCTTGTTCGTTATGCGGACACTTTGCAGGTCTTTGACGCAGTCACCATTATAAAAGAGAGCGAGTCTATGTTAGCACTGGAGTGGCCTGTAGTTTTCTAATCGTCCCTGCCTTCACTATTTTATTGCTGGTATTCTAGGCGAATACCGTTAACGATATGATAGCGGACGCCGTCGTTGCTTCCATAATACAGATTGAGTTAAATCCTTCCACAGCTAAAAGTACAGAGCTAATATTTTCGCTTAACCACTACATCTGCACTTCATCGAAATTTTTAGTGATTGGTAGCAGTTGCAGCCATACACATCGTGCTGTTCCCTCCAAAACACAGGCCCCTCTTCTTCACAGCACGTGCGTAGTTGAGAGTGACGATGCCCGCCGGGATAAAGAAAGACTGCGGCGGTCTCTCTTGCTGCTTCTCGAAAGTCAGTACGAGTGTGTCTCAGTGGGAAAGAAAGAAGGTACTGCCGCGGACGTCATACATGTGGACACAGGAACTGCAAAAGCAGTAGTATTCCTTGAAACTTTGGTATGTAGATAACTCCGAGCCATACACTTTACATAGTAACTTTCATATATAAAAAGGATGTTGAATGCGATGATCAAAACTTGGCGAGGCTCATTAAAAACCTCTGCACTAACGTAGTGACTAGTGTAAATCTATTGTAACTGTGATGACTAAAACGCGGAAGAAAGCGTGCTACATACTTTGTTTAGAAAATTCTGGGCCCGGCTATTTTATTATTTAAAGAACTTACATTATCAGGATATACAATGCAAAGCTTTTATATAATTCCGGCTCCTCACATGTGCGCTTGATAACTATAATTGTTAAAGTATAGCGGAGCCTTTTGTTAAGCTTTAAAGGCGTTTTGGGACAAACCTTTTTTTGTACAGGAACTTAGAAGAAAGTAGTTATAACCATTATACTTCGTGCTAACCACCGCGCTCTCTGGCAATGGCGTTTTGCTTAGTGGTTTCTACACTTCATAATTTTGAGGGTCCCACCATTTATGCTTTAGCCTGATTTCTCTCCTTTTATCAGTTTCAAACGTAATCGTAATTATTTATTAACTGTCTTATATTATATCGAGTGGACATCTTTTTTTCATCTTGGTAATTTATAACACTACTTCTACCAGCCGCCCCAGACTGTTTATATATGCGTGGAACGGTAAAGCTATAAGGAAACAGAAGCGCATGTTGCTTTCTGCAGGTGGTTGGAACAATTCGTCTAATTCAAGGAACTGTCGGCCTTCAAGGAGTAGGGCACCGTATTTCGCATGTCTCATACTTAAACCAAACAAACTGGTGAATGACCGATCACTGCCACTACTTATTGGCCAAAAGCAAGCCAAGTGTGCTGAGATCTTGTGATAGAACTTTATTAATGTTACCTGCTAAGCTAGTTTGAAGCTGGCGGATTTATATATATTTTACAAAGCAAAGCATTAACTTTGTTATGTGGAGTATCGCTGGGAAAGTTTTTCATGTGCACAGGACACAAGAGTTATAGAAGTTCACTCTGTACTTTGAGACTTCAATTCAAGAGGTCTTTCCGGAAGCGACGTGGGCGGAGGGGGCGGATAGTATGCATAAATCCAAGGCACCCGTCGATAATCTTGCGGAAGCTAACCCGAGGCAGTCATTAGTTATTAGTTTATTTGATAGTAAAAAGCACTATAGCAGTAAAAGTACGTCTGATAGTAACTCCGAAAGGAACGGAGCCAGTTTTAAGGGAGAAATGGGCAAAGCTTGGCAGATGCGATGGACTCGCGCCCGGCAGCTTTGGACCATCGTCTGCAGCTTAAGTTCGTCCAATTGAATGTCCTTTCACAATTATAGCATTATCATAATGAAGGCCATCATCAACACATGCGGCCAACATGCAGTATACGAAGCTTGTTATTGAGTTTTGCGAGTTCGTTTTTAAAGTTTTGTATTTTCAAATCGAGCTCTCTGGAGTCGATGTTCATGAGGTTGATCTCGTTCAACTTCAGCTTAGCATCGTTCTCGCTCATGTAGCTCTCGTACAGCCGAAAGTTGTTCTGCGCCTCCTCAACTTCCTTGTTTTTCTATCTCCCATAACAAACGCTATAGGAATGGCTAGAAGACCGTAAACTGGGACATACGGCGATAAGCGATTGGTCCAAGAGGGCAAGTTCTTCATTCTTTTGCTTCTTTTCCGTGTTGACCTGTGTGTAGAAAGGAAAATTTGCTGATAGTAGACTTCGAATATGGAGAGATTGGTTATAATAAGTACTTCATCCAAATTCTTTTTAAGATAAACAACTCTGTAGCTTATTTGCCCCAAGATTTGCCTCAGCGCCTCGACACCCACCAATATATCCTGATAAATAATAATAATAACAACGATAATAATAATAATAAAAGAATACTCTGCAATCGATGTAGCACGGCCACTTCAAACTATTTATAAAGGCACAAAGTGCTGGCGGAAGCCATTGAATAAACTTCCTAATAAACAACAGCGTAAGAATAAGAAGGTCATGATTACTACTCTAAACCTGTATTTGGCCTTCTGAGCCGAAAGTGGCTCTGCGCGGGAAATACGAATGTCCGGGGGGATGGCGAACTTGAAAACAGGAGACTGTCAGAGTTAAGTGCCGTTCTTTGATTGGGTTATATTCATTATAAGTACACTACTTTAATGGTCACGCCACTCAAAAGACCAGGAGAAACACTCGGGAGTACAGGCTTGGGCGCACCTCGTGGCACGGATGGACACGTGACATAAAGTACAGTAATGTTGAAAATAATAGATACGTGGCAAAGGAATTTTAGCGACGCCCTCCTTGTTGATTGGAGGCCGCGGTAGTAATTTAGCCTGGAAAAACATACTTCAACGACTCCAGTAGCATTAAAAAACACAGTAAGAGGACAGGAGACGGAAGTGGTTGACCAGGCGCGCTTATGGAGGGTTCGTTTTTGACCAAATAAGGGGGTTTAGCCTAATTTGTAGGCATAAGAAGACCAATTAAGTTAAAAGAGGCACTAACAACCATATCTTGCATGTACGCTTCTACTTTCTTGCTATTGGCCAGCGAAAGGGTCGGAACGGCAGCGCTAACCTGTAAGTTAGTAAGTACCACTCGAATAATTAATATTCTTTATTATAAATGTTACAGACTTTTCAGTACTCAGCACTGGGGGTAAACAATAGAATAGAAAAAGAACCTCCTCTTCGCTTTCTTCTGTTTCAGTGGCGCTGGTGGGACGATATTCTTTTTCGTCGCTATATAATAATGATTTGTTAAAAAAAACATTGAAATATTTTTGTAAAGAGTGAATTATATAAAAGCATGGCAATAATAAGTGTGAGCCCCCCCTGCCATCTGCAACACGCCCATCGGGGCGACACGTGAGCTTGGACCAACCAATACATAAAGTGATAGCCAAGTAAAATAATAAAAGTCACCGCATAATAGACTTGGACTTTTTAGAAGGGCCAGGCGCGTCGTCCTCGAAGTTCGAATAGTCCACAGTATTTTTCCTATAAAAGTTTATTAACGAATCCAACAAAACAAAAACTATTGCATTATAAAGTAGTGTTTTTAAGAATAGCGACACCTTCTAGCGCCTCTCCCGAGAAGCACGTCCTCGCAAACTGTCTTGGAAACTTCTTTTTGGATCAATTCGTCCCAAAACTCTTTAGCTTCTTCAGTGCTACAAACACAATAAAAGAGAATCATTAATAAGGTTTGCTGATCTGCTGTAGTTAAACACGCCCACCACGAGAGACACAATAACTGGTAACCCTTCTCCTTAGCAGCCTTTGGTCGGCCGGGTCTCCCACTTATTATAGAAGCAAATTAAAAGCGAGCTTACATCGATTCGTCGTCCCAAACACGTGCAGTATTGAACGAAAATAACGAGTTAGTGCTGCCCAACATCTCTTCTTCCTCTCCGGCTGTGATAGTGCGATCCAATAATCTTTGAAAAAATGCACAGTCCAGGAGAAAAGTGAAAAACCAACAAAGTAAAACCTCTCTATAAACTGGTCATCGTACTTTACAACTTTGCTTTGACTATCGTTAAGATCGGGATCCTCAAATAAAAGCTTCGAAGCGACACTGCAATGCACATGAGCCTAGGAAGAAAAACGCCCACGTGGTAATAAACCAGAGACCTCAGAAGTTGCTCGATATCCGCCGTCTCTATTTTCTCATCAACCTTATCGATAAATATTTTTTCCAGGAGCCGTTTTCTTTTTGCTCGAGCCCAAATACCCTCTTCTATGGACTTCACCTTAACAGCCGTGTTAGCACAAACAGGCTTAAAAGACAAACTGCAAGCACGCACAGTAACGAAGTGGTACACCATGACAGGGCGCTTCTGGCCAATGCGGTGGCACCTCGATATCGCCTGAATGTCCATTTGCGGGTTGAAGTCGCTATCGTACAAAATCACAGTGTCGGCTGTTTGGAGGTTAATGCCCAGCCCGCCCGCCCGGATAGTCATCATAAAAATAGACTGGCGTATGAATAAGCAAATCATGAAGGGGAATAGAAGTGCAGTGAAGTAACACACTTCCTCCGACCCTGGTTGGTTAAACTGATCGATCATCCATGTGCGATCTCGCTGGCTTGTGGTCCCGTCGAATCGAAGGTACTTCCAGCCGCGATAATCAAAGTAGTCTTCAAGAATGTCCAGCATAATCTTGAAGGTGCAGAAAAGAAGCACCCTACCACCAATAGAATGGTGTAACCCCAAGCCACTCATCATGACACCCGTAAGAACCTATGGCCTTCCTTTAGCAGTCTCGGAATTAGCGAATCAAGAATAATAGTTTTCCCCGAGGCATTAACCAGCCTCTCATAAACGGTGTCCGAACTTGAACTGAGCACGTTAAGTTTCACATGACAATGAGATGTACGACACATAAGGAAGTTACTCGTCTTCTGGTTCGATGTTGGGGAAAAGATACGGATGGTTGATGCACTTTCGAAGTTGGATAAGAGTGTTTCTCAGAACATTACTCGTGCGCTTCCCCTTCTGAAGGATTTTAAGATCTCCTGGAACGTGGAAGCATGTGTAAATATAATGCAATGACAATTCTCAGAAGCACCGCACCTTTGATGATTTCCCGGCTTAAGTGCCTCTGCAGCGAAGTTTGCAAGTCGGAACAATCACTACGAAAAACAATGGCAAAAAGTTTCAACACGAGGCCTCATAGGAACCTTCTTTTTTAGGGGGAAGATCACTTAACACGTCGCTTTTCACCCTTCTCAGCAAGTGTGGACGGATGCGCCGGTGAAGGTCTTCAATATTCTTGATGTCAGTCCAGTTTTCAGAGGAAAATTTCTCGCGGTAGTTGTCGGAATCTTTGCAATAATGGTATTAAGCCAATGACAGTGAAGTCAGTAAAAACATGGAACCAAATTTAGCGGGATCCAGGAACAATAGCAAATTGTGGAGTTCATAAATATCGTTTTGTAGAGGAGTCCCTGTCAGAAGTATGCGATGGGCGTCGTCAATTTGGCTGAGCGTGTAAAATAACTTGGACTCATTATTCTTCAATCGCTGCCCCTGTAGTGATTATGAACTATCTAAGATTTATTAGAATAACAATAGTAAAACGCGTACTTCATCTACGATGATAGCCATCCACTTGATGCGTCTCAGAAAGGGGGGATTCGAAAGACAGTTCTCGTAGGTCGTTACTAATACGTGTATTCTGGGAAGCCTATGAATTATAACAAATGAGAAACATTAAAGAAATACTTGAACATTGGTGTACCCGCGCGAAAAAGGGAGAAACAGTTCGTGATTTTCAATAATTTCACGAGAAGCGGCATCACCAGAGTAAAATACAACGTTTAGCTGCGGGGCCCTGTAGTTAAATTAATTGGCTATCTGTGAAGAAAGGAGCACAAGCAAAGCAAACCATTTAGAGAATTCAGCAAGCCAGTTGTGACACGTAGATAAGGGGGCCACCACGAGGCAAGGATTTTGACGGAAGGAAAGGCCAACACCAAAATCTTCCAGTTGGTAGCGGCAGCAAATGTACGAAACCGCCTGCAATGTTTTCCTGGCGCGATACACACCAACTGTAGATACCACTTAGTTTCGATATATATTCAGGTCACGCACCCCAGCCCCATTTCATCGGCCAGTATGCAGTTGATGCGGTGAGTCATGTTGTACAGTAGCCAGTTCAGACCGTCGAGCTGGTAAGAGTGGAGCTGGCCTCCCGCTAGAAAGGCAGGTTGCTCGTTTATTTCTTTAAATTTGGGTGTTCTGCATGCTGAAAAACAAAAGGGTACCGAACTGCCGAGCTTGTAACTACATGCGGCTACCTGGGGTGTCCTGCACCGCCATGTGGCTCAAAAAAGCCTTGTAAAGCACAACGAGTTGCTCTTCAAGGCGGGCCACTCCCGCAAAGTCGACTTCGGAGTCCTTCAAGTAGGCGTTGTAAAAGCTTCCAGCACGGCCACCCGACGATAGATACTCCCACGTGCTCTCAGCGTATTCCATGTTGGTCCACTTGACATAATAAAGTTTTCTGACTTTCTTACTGGGTCCAAAGGGGGCCGCTAGAAGCAACGAGTAAACGAAGGGTGATTTGGCAACAACAACATAAGTAGCGACGTTCTTTCTTTTCAGCAATAACTCTCTGCATTGTTTTCCAGTCCTGGTGAACTACACTTCGAACAGAGGGACCATTAATCGTCTCAATTCTCTAAAATAAATATTGTTACGCTACGTACGAAGCCTCGCTACGTTTACGAAAGCTTCAACAGACTAAAAATATATGTTTGGTAAAAAATTTTGCGAATTTAAAGATCTGAATACAGAATACTTAAACTTATCCATCTTGGCAAAGATCAAAGAAAATTAATAAGGGGGGTAAAGTTTTGGTCCAAAGTTTATAGTGAAGACTTTCAAATATAAAAAGTAAATTACCAGAACACGTTACATTATGTATACAGAAAAGTTTAATGCAGGCTCTATATTAATACGAAAGCGAAGAATAGTATATAACAATAAACATTACAAGCAACTTCTACTGTCCAATAACAACATTTAACAAAGCTAATAATAAAATCACTCACTTTTTTAAATGAGAATTAAATGCAAACACCACCGCAAGTTTAACAGTAAGAAAAATGTCCATAATATCACAATAAAAGCTTGTTACTGTAGTTATTTTGCTATAGAAACATCTTTTCTTCTATATAAAATATTGTTATAAAGTAACGCGCTTCTTTATAGTTCTAGAAAAATGAAGATTACTATAAAGAACTGTACTGACTAACTTACGCGTTTGTACCGCCGAAACAAAGAGACGTTGCAGGCCTCAACCCAGTAATCGGGAACCCAACCGTCCTATGTACAAGCAAATTTATAATCACAAACTGCAGTGTAAGAGTAAAATTACGATATAATAAATTGAACGATAGAGAAAATAATCAAATTACTACATTAAATAATTATCCTATAACAAAGATAATAATAAGCCAGATAGAAAAAAAAGCATAAATAATAATATAATAGGGCATACGTGAAAATGCGACATTTGGGAAAATTTGACATATAAAACCAAACTTATATCAATATTTTCGTTTTTTTCAAATTCAGAAAAATTTTCAGACAAAGTTGGATCGCAAATGGGCGCACTTGAACTTCTAGTCTTATTTAATATTTCAGGCTCTAACAGAAAAAATTGGTATAATAAAAAAATAATGAGTCTCCTTATATAAAAAAATAAACCTGAAGGCTTATGAGTTAGAATTGATTCAATTATTTGACCGTTGAAGACAGTACAAAGATAACAATACCAAGAATCGTGCTTCACGGAAAACTTGCTGGAATCGTAAGGAGAAGTTTCATCTCTAAAACCAAAAAATTTATTATTAGTTAAAATATAAAAATGAAATAAGTACTAAAAATAACTAGCAAAATATAAAAAGTAAAACAAAAAATTTTATAGCTTACAGTAACTTAATGTATGCAGAGACACAGTTGAGATGAAAATATAGCCAGCATCCTTCACACTTAACAACGCCTTGATCTTCAATCAATAACAATTCTTTACAAAAAGTACAATGCGAATAACATTCAGAACAGCGCCAGTTCTTTAAATCTTTATAGTGAGTTTGTAACTAAAGTGAGAGACCATCCAAGATCTACTAAAAGAATGACTACCTCTTTCGAGACATGATGAGCTTTCTAAACTAATACAGGCTACATGGGCAGTGTTATTGCATCTTAATCCTTGTTTATTTAATTTTGTGGCACACGTAACAAATTCACCCTTCAGCAACCGCCGACACTTAAAACACTATATTATGATAATTAATTTTCAACAGACCTTGGTTTATAACTTTTGACACAAAATAAACTTTTTGAATAACGGGCGGAGAAAGGCTGGGAACCTCCATAAGAGTCTCCTGCTCAAGGTTAATCTTCCTTTGTCCATTAGAGAAAACGGGTTTCGAAGAATCCTTCTGGGTGTCTGCAAAGAGAGCATATATCACGATTAAAGAACACATAGAATAAGCACTTAACCACTTGACTTCTTTTTATCTTGACTAGTTTTCAATGATCTCGACTGCGACTTTACTAAACTTCTATAAGATAAGTGTTCCTCAAGTTTTTGGCTTCTAGTTCTTCCCACGTTATGGATCCGTAAAAGCCCTCTAAACCTGGAGCTTCTCCTTGCAGACCTGGTAGCTACTTTTTTCAAACGCAGGTTTGCGAAGGATCCTATATTATCGGTGGTGTAGATACATACCCATGGTTTGAAACTTGTACTCTTTCTATGTATGAGTACCCAGTAATTGCGATCTTCTCTTCATGGAGACCGCCAAAGGGGGCGCACGAGGGAAGCTACGAGAAGAAAAGAAAAATGGACATGCCTCGTAATAACGGCGAATAGTTTTTGTTATATAATACTTGCCACGAGAAAATAAACAAATCAAAAGGAATTTTAATGGTGTTAGCTTATAGCCTTCTTATGAGTTCACTATTGGCTGACACTAGTAGCCTTCCTTAACGGCCCGAAGTGTGCCCGCCCCATTTATATAAACCATCTTAGAGTGTTCTTCTTACGTTAAAATAGATATTAAATAAAATTATTGGTAACGGTGAACTTTAAGCGCACCTAAACATCCTTTGAGAAATGACCCATGCTTACAATGCCCCCCTCAGTATAATAGCATTTGCCTATATGTTATTGCTATAATCTTAGTCGAAAGGCATAAAATTATTTGAATTTATAATTTTTATCTATTACGCTATCAATTTCGTTTTAATAACTGCTACTTAAATAACTTATTGGCTAATACTATAGTTAAAATGAAAATTACATAATCAATTGTCCTTTCACCTATTACAAGGTAATGCTTCAAGCATAAGGTATTACTTTAGTCAGTGGGTTTTTGTTTCAGATTGTTCGCACGGTGTAGATAACGAATATCCAAGTTTAAAATTAGTTATAAAAATTATTATAAAAAATGACAAAATCATACCCGCTGAATATATGATAACCCTTCCAGTTACCTGAAAAAATTGTTTTTACCTTTTTAATGTGCTTTAATAAGTTACGTAAAAGAGTTTCTTTAGAATTCATTAATTCCGTATTTTATGACAACTAAGCCCAGCTTTTTATGGTCAAAACTATTTTTTTTACTTGAATATAGTAACGCCTCTCTTGGTGAATTTAATCTTAGTGTAATAAATATATATATACTTTATTAATATGGAAAGGTAACAAAAAGTGTGTATAAATAAAGCAAAGAATAGTACACAAGGAAAATTGACAGTAACTAAGCTAATACTGTCCATTAAAAGATTATGTTTTAGCATTTCAAATATAAAGACCAATTTAATGGACCGTCTCCATATGGGTTTGACCTATTTTCCTCACCTTAAGGGAGTAGTCTTTGCGTGCGACAAGAATAAGTGGCTATATTCACAACTGATACTATGGTCATCAGTGTAGTGACATGAATTTTTTTATATAGAATGTCCACTAGACGTATTAAACACTATCGAACTCCAAAATAAACTATGGATTTTATATTACAGGTTTATAGACATACAGTTAGAACAAAATTAAGACCTTTTTTTACATGACCTGATTGCATATAGCTGTGCTAACTAGTAATAGTCTTATACAATGTAGAAAGACGTAAATTTTATCCCCCCAATAATCATTAAGTCTGCTCGTTTATAAGTACCAATTTAAATAGAAGAATTTTTTCGCCTAAATAAAGACTATAAATACACGTTTCCATTAAAAAACCAATTTACTAACAGTGCAGGTCTCAAGTGCCAGCGCAAAATAAATCGAACAGCTTTTTTCTTAATTATCAAATAACCTGAAGTTTGTTTTTCCTTAAGGAAAACAGGGTCTGATTTCGATTTGTTCGGGAATTATTCTATTAAATGTGTTGCTAATAAGTGTGACATGCAACATCAACTGTAAGATTAGGCTCCTTTTTTTATAAACTATGATTACTATATAACTAAAAAGATGTTTCTGTCAGATAAACCCAGCTGTGCTTGCTAGTGTAAAAATTGTTAATACTCTAAAAAAAGCAGCCGTAGCGGTCCATTTGATAAGACTTTAAAAGAGTATTTGAGTTTTATAGCACAACACTTTTAAACATACTAAGATGACATGAATGTAGTCGGGAAAGTTAAAGCCTGCTTGCTTTTAAAATATCCCTTTCGTTCACTTGATTGTAGGTCTACTGAGATCTGAGGGGGAGGGAGGAAACGTTATTCTTATTTCTCTAGAGGTCGTAATAATTTACGTTAAATGCACGGCTAGCTTTTAAAGTATTATTAAACATCAAATTAATACATAATTATCAATTTATTTTATAGTTAAACAGTTTTCCTTATATATAGTTTGCTCTTACAGAAGGTCTATCTCTTACGTTCACCTCAATTAACTGTAGTCATGATAGCGCCCTTTTTCATAATGTTATTCGGAAATAGTTTAGTAATTATTCTTTAGAACGTGAAAGTTTGTTAGTGGAAAATTAATTTTTTAAAGACTGTTCAAAAATGGAGTTACTGGTAGCAAAAAATACCTTAATTTGTCTTTAATCAAGTGGCATTTAAAGTAAATTTTCTTTTTGTAATAATATTGTTAGTAATTATAATATCCTTTAGCATTATTTTAGCAGCGTAACTTAAGGCAAATTGTATGACTGTCGTAATGGTGTAGGACGTACTAAGAATGTTGTATCATTTGTCAATAAAGAAAAACATTATTTTGCTCGTGTATCTGCTTAACTATAACCGCGTTGTTCTTGGTAGATATATTTGTATTGTTGTAACTTCTCTTTGCAGGGCATCCTACACGTTATGGTATAATATGTTTTCAATTTACTCGTGCACGCGGATTTCCTTTTCGGAGTGTCCTTAAGCCAGGTGTATTAATATTTATGTTGCTGGCCCGGAGGTCTCTAGTTTAACAGCTAAGCTTATCAAGAAATATGGTTTACCCGGAGAACATGAAAAAGAGAGCACAAAAGAGGAGCAAAGGGTAAGAATCCCAACTTATCTATTCTCTTATTACTGGCATACTTTTATGGGCCCGCTTAGAGCTTAAGCTGTACCCCATCTCTAAGAAAAGTTTAATAACTGTCTCGCAGGATGGAGAGGTAGCGGAGATACGTCGAGCTCGGTCTCCCGTTCTCCGAAGCATAGCGGTGGAAAATTGCTAAAAACCATCATTTCAAGAGGTGTTTTAAGTACTTATCCCGAGGGCGGCCTATCGAAGACACTAGCCAAAAGTATCCTATTGTTTACTAGTAATTTAAAAATTAAACTCACATAGATTAAAAAAATAGCTTCATTATATAATCTTTTTTACTCTTGTAAACATAATGATTTATTGGCAGCTGTATTTAGCGCTCACTAAACTTACACTAATGTGATTAATATTTATGATTAACCATGAAAGATTCAGTTTTCCTAGTAAATATTGTATTTTATGGAGTTTTTTTTTCTAGAAGAGAAATACCTTGGTGCAAGGAGTCTACTTTCATAGTGGCATTAGCATACTTTTACAGTAAGTTTAATTTGGCGCATATTGCCCAATTTTAATGTTAGAAGAGAATAATAAGCCTGCACTTAGAAGCAAATATTTTCAAGGGCTGATGTGACAAAGCACATGTTCTATTCTCATATATACTTTTGCAAAAGTTTTTCTTAAAAATGTAACGCACATTGAACCTAACGTGGTGGTGTACCTTTAATAAATTGAATAAAGATCTATTACTTTTACTTGCAAAGTTCATACAAGCTTTCTCCGCAATAGTACGGACTTTAAGTATATATGCAATTTACCCTAAAGTAGTCGCACCTCTTATTTAGACTGTTTCCGCATTAGGTCTCTCAGCCCCTTTGAGTTTTAAACTTTTTACTTTTATATTAAATAAATAATACCGTAAATTTTTGAATACTTTTTGTTTATTGAGATATATTAAGATACAGGTCATACTAAACTTTAACTTCTATCTAATTTGAAAAATTAGAAAACCATATAATTTCCAGGTCTTTGAGATCCCCTGCAACTGCTGTAGGGTTAAATAACGCAAACCCATGTTTGGCCTCGTGGTGAAAATTTTCTGGTATCCATCAGTGTGTATAATATAGCTCTTAACAACACCTAACCTAATTTCCTGCTGAAATTTAATATTAAATTAAGAGAGCTTGTTAAATATTTTTATCTAAAAGAAAGCTACAAAACCTGATGTGATAAAGTCTTACCTTAAAAAAAAAAAAAAAGAAGAAATGTTAATGATTAAATTAGCAGCCGTAAATCGACTGCAATAGTATAATTGTAAAAAACGCATCATTTAAGCTTTGAAGGACCACTGCTCCTTAGGTGGCGACTTTTGTGCTCTTTGTCGAAAAAGTGTTTCTTCCCCCTAACATGCTGTTACAAAGAATGACGTACTCTTTAAGAAACGCGTTATAAAAAGAAAGGCTCTAAATTTTTGTGTTATTCGACATGAATGTAGTAAATCACAAATAATTTTTTAAAAACTATTTAAACGGAAACAAGTAGTCTGTTTGAGATTATTTTATTAAACAACAGCAATTGTAAATATACAGTCATATTTTGAGACTTTTACGTCACAGTGCGTAAAACTCTTATCCGAGTGATCAAGTCTTGAATTTGTACCTTCTATTTGAAAAAAGTTTCTTACAGAGACTATTGGTTATAATATAGCCAAGCACATCATGATGATCGTTACGCAAGTAATTACAAGTGTACATTGCATGAAACTATAAGTACAAATTGTCCTAATATTAACTCCTTAAAGGAGCCTCTACTCTTTACTCTGACCTAAAATTAGATATTTTACAGTCACACTTCGTTCATAGGTTCAGTTTTGAGAGAGCGATTTTTAAAAAATTAGACCGTTTTTCCCTTGTAATGTAAAATCAATTCCTTCCACCCCTGAGTCCAGATGTGAAATTGGCCTGGTCGCAGCTGCAGTTATTCTTCATGTTTAAAGTGCTGATAAAAGATTACTGACGAGTATAACCAAAATTTCTTACCTTGAAAAAGTTAGAGCGTATTAAAAAGAGTTAAGTCGGGTAAAAAAAAATTGTAATACTTGCGCATAATTGGATGTGTTAAAGCGGACGCTCCTGGATTAGCTCTCAGTTACTGAACTCAAACAAATGAGTGTGCCAGCTCGACGAATTTGCCGTAATCGAACAGTATTCGGTTAATTAAAGTATGCAAAAATAGAATGTTAAGACGAAATGTTGCATCATAGTGATTTACATTTTATTATTTTGTTCGCACTTCTCTTAGCATTATGAAGTCTGGTATCTTCTGTTCGATAT